GCTGTTCCGGCTCCATAAAGCTTCTTTTCCAATAAGCCCAAATCTTTTCTATTAGTCAAAGATTTTTTAGTTTATCCATTAATAAAGTTGATAAATAAACTGATCATTAAGATTCAAATCTTATTCTACCTTCTGATGAATAACACTCTTTTGCATTGTCTTTTAAATAAAACATGTAAATAAATGTAAAACAGAAATCATACACATTTTTAAAAAAAGAATGTTTATTACAGAATTTCTTTGTGAATTTCTTTTTTTCAGTGTGAATTATTTGCTTAAACATTTCTTTTATATTACTCACACATTCAAAACAAATCACACTCAAATATATAGCCAAAATATAGCAACAACAAATATGGTGTTTTGCCCAAAAAAAGTATCCTAATTTTTTCTACATCATTTTTCAGCAGCTGTTCAACCCTTTACATTGCTTCAAAATGGTGACACATTCATGACGAATGGACCGATAGAAATGATCCAAATGACTCACCACATTAACCTATATTAAAAGTAAAGATCACAAAACTGTGATATTTTGGGTTCAGACAGTTGAAGAATCCATGAGCAGAGTTTGATTAACAGGCTTGCACAACAAAAATACTGCTGTGATGACAGCTGCATTACCACAATACCAGGGTCATGTTTTGTCCACTGTGGGGTTCAGCTCATTACTGTCACCACCCTTTATTTATTTATTTATTTATTTATTTATTTATTAGTATTTCTTTTCTCTTTTTCTGCTGGTAAAAGTTAGGAGTGCATATAATGTTTGATATGAAATAAGTACAATAATAATTGTTTAGTTATCATTGCCTGTCTTCCATCTTATCTTCAAGGGATTCTTGAGAAACAAAGCTTTTCAGTTGCTGATCACTTCAGCTTTGTACATGAGGGAGATGGACAGTCTATTAAATATATGGGTTTTTTTTTAGTTTGATTATTATTGATAATTTCTAGGCTTGAGTATTTGTGATATAAATAAATAGACACATACAAACACACAACACACATATAAAAGACAGAACTATAACAAACAATTGGAGTTAGATTTTAATTACTTATAGCAAACACATTTCTCTTGTGTTGTATTGTCCACATAGTTGATGCTTGCTAGTTGTCATCATTTGGATGAACAATGACCATGAATATAGTTCCTAAGCCAAATGTTATGTCACCAATTTGGGTACATTTTGGCTTTGAGTCAGATGACAAGGGGCAGCCAGTGAGCTTGGATGAGGCAATGTGCCATATTTGCAGTAAAGAACTATCCATGTCATGAAGAAATACATCTAATGTCAGCTCAACACAGACAAAACCAAGGAGCTCATTGTGGACTGCAGGAAAAACAAAAGCTGCACACTCTCCTGTCCGAATCGGCGGTTCTGAGGTACAGCTTGTCTCCAGCTTCGAGTTCCTGGGAGTGCACATCTCTGAAGACCTTTCATGGACACTCAACACCACACACCTGGTTAAGAAAGCCCAGTAGCACCTCTACTTCCTGAGGACACTAAAGAAGGAACATCTGTCTCCTCAGATTCTCACAAACTTCCACTGCTGCACCATCGAAAGCATACTGACCAACTGTGTAACAGTGTGGTACAGCAGCTCCACTGTGGCCAACAGGAAGGCCCTCCAAAAATGGGTGAGGACCGCTCAAAAAATGGGTGAGGAGTGCATCACTGACACACAGCTCCCTGCCTTCAGAGACATTCACCATCAGCACTGTGTGTGCAGAGCGCACAGCATCATCAAAGACTCCTCCCACCCCAGCCACATACTGTTTAACCTCCTCCCATCCGGGAGGAGATACAAAAGCATTTGGAGCAGAACCAGTCGGCTCAGGTCCAGCTTCTTTCCCTTCACCATCACCCTGCTGAACTCCCCACCACTCCACTAATACTCATACTTGTATGTTGCACACAATATTTATTATTATTTATTATCCCTTGCATTTCCATACAACAGACTGTTCACTGTGTGTAGAACACATAACTGCTTACTCTAACGGTACGTAACATCTTATATATTGTACTAATAGTATTATTTGTAAATATAAACACACATATGTCAGTCATAGATATTATAATTGTGTATATATATTGATCATATAGTTATGTATTTCATAGATACGTCATATTTATGCCTGTTATTACACATTTGCACTGTCCATTTTGCACTATTGGTACTATTTGCAATTCTGGTAGATGCTAACTGCATTTTGTTGCCTTGTACTTGTACTGAGCAATGACAATAAAGTTAAATCTATCCATCTAATCTAAGATCATGTCTGAGAATTACCCATGTTGCTGCATTTGCTTGACTTGGCAGCAGCACATCTGCTTCAGGAGGAGGTACAACCTCCAGCCAGCAGTGACAGTTGGGAGTGTCTGAGGCCTTTGTGAGAGGAGCGAAGTACCAACATGATGGCAACACAGAACAGGTTTGATTTTGGCTTTGTCACGCACTTGATTTTACTCGCTCAGACATTAGTTTTTATCATCCAAACTTTTGTCACAATCAAGCCTGTACTGTTTAGTTCTGTAATCGGCTCAGTAAGCTAGCATTAAAGTTAGCCGATCATGCATCTAAACACCACAGAGCAGGTTTAATTTCACAATGAGCGTAAACCGCCAATACATTGCATTTCTCAGCAGTAAGAAAAAATCCGTACTGTCACAGCCCTATAAAACATACAGACCAAAACTCAGTCAGTGAAAAATGCAAAAGGTCTGTAATCAGAATGGCAGTCCAGAACCAGGCATAAGTAAAAACATTGGCAAAAGAGAACAGGTAATATTTCACAAACTGGAGGGGGAAATGGAGAGGAATTTAAAAAGAGACAAATAAAGGGGGAATTTTCCGCAATTATGAGTGCAGCCTTGCAATTATAAGTGTAGCCTTGACAACAGTTAATCATCTAGATGATGAGGACCTCTGGTTGACAGAATGGAGAATAGCAGGATATGACACATAATTTACTGGTTAGATGGGTCAGAATAGGGACAACCTGAAACTGTTCAGGGCAGTGGAGCTGAAAAGCGATGACCGATCATCATAACTAGCAGCAATGCTATTGTACTGAATGCAACTAATGACAACAAACTTACACTAACTCTTTCAGGGTAAGCATTGTAGGATCCATTTATTCAATAGACTAGTCTGATTGATGCCATTCTGAATACAATTTCAAAATCTGATTGAAGGAGGTGAGTAGTCCTGTAAATAATGAATAGATGAATAACAGCCATGTAAACACCTGTATCAGATTACAGTCCCAACCAGAAAGTTTAAGTACATTCTGCGCATGTGCATCTGCATCATAACAGAAGTTTATAACATTTAATATCACAGGAGCCAGACACTGGTCTGCAGAGTAAATGAAATTTTTGCTTGATTGCTTAGATTTTTTTAATTTTTACCATAAAGCTCACAGTAATGAGGTATTTATAAGCAAATGAACGCCACTGGGTGTACATTAACTAAATAGCAAATTAAGAACAGCAACTGAAAACTCAGGTGAAACATTGCTGCTCGTCTCACTCTGACTGGACTCACGTCATGCTTGTTGGACATAAACAATTTAATCAGATTGTTGAGTAAAGGATGCATATTACATACCTCCGTGTTATCTATAATCTGTAATTAATCATATAACATAAATAAATATATTTTAGATGTATCATCTATAATTTATTGTAATATAATAAACTGAAAGAGCTCAATCAGATTGAAACCTTTGCATGTAAACATAGCCCATGTTTTTGGGGTGGTTGTGATGTCACCCAGGGGCATCACTAGACCCAGTACTGGGGAATGTCACCAAGCCCCACTATAATCACTGGGGAGAAAAAAAAGCCAACATGTAAGCCATAAAGTTTACAACTTAAGCCTTGATTGCTGGGCTAAACTACACGATACAAACATGATGACCACACAAACTCACTGCTGACACTACATTTCCCACGGTCCATCAGGATCTTTCCTTCAGTCTTTCCGTACTCTTGCTGTACGCCAACTGCTCTCAATACTGACCTTGCACTCTATAAAAAGTATTTAAGATTCAATCAGTGTTTTAACACGTTTCATTTCTTAATTTTCATTTCCCACAGTATACAGCTTCGTTTCCAAAAAAATTGGGACACTGGGCAAAATGTAAATAAAACCCAAATGCAACAACGTACAAATCATTTAAAAACTATATTTAATTGAAAAAGTACAAAGACAAGACAACATATCAGATGCTGAAACTGAGAAACTGGACCTTTTTCAAAAATATATTTTAACTTGTAGTTGTGAATGCAGCAATTAACTGTTTTCAGAAATTGGTTTTTGGTAGTGTTCCTGAGCCCATGCAGTGAGTTTCAATACAGAATTGTATCTGTTTTTAATGCAGTGCTGCCGGGGGGGCCTGAAGATCATGACCAGCTAATACTGGTTTTCAGCCTTGTCCCTTACATACAGAGGTTTTCTCCAGATTCTCAGAATCTTTGAACAATATTATGGATTGTAGACGATGAAATCCGTAAGCTCATCTTTACTTCTGAAAGACTCTCTTGGGCACTCTTTTTTTTTATCATGTTACTGACCTATTGCCAATTAACCCAATTAGTTGTGAGATGTTCCTCCACTGTTCCTAAACCGTATTGCCAGCATCAAGTTCAAAATGGGCATATATTTTTCAAAAAACAATAACATTTCTCAGGTTTAACATTTGATTTATGTCATCTTTGTATTATTTTCAATTAAATATAAGGTTTAAGTGATTTGCACATCATTTCCTTTTGTTTTTTTACATTTTGCACAGCATCCAAAAAATGTTAGGATGCTGTGCAAAATGTAAACAAAAACAATGAACTACTGTACTGCTGTCAATATCTATTCTTTAGATAGACTTTAGACTTTACGCAAACATAGCGTTCTATTGGGTGGGATTGTGGGCCACAGATTTAATATCATTAATGCAACAGGCCTACATTGTGTTCATAAAGACAGACATGCGTGCATTTGATTTGATCATATGGCATTTAAAGCTTATTTTGAGCTCAGAGCTTAGTGCAAGTAATGCAGTTATTTAGAGTTTGAGGTGCCATATGATAGATCTCCCAGCTTCAGTACATCATCCATGGGCTCTTAAGGAATATTTTGCTGTCTTCATTAACCTGAGCTGAAAGGCTGTGCTCCTGTCCCAGTCTCAGGAATGCCTACAGAGGAAAACAAAGGAGAAGGAAGATACTATACATGTGTATACACACACACACACACACACACACACACACACACACACACACACACACTCTATGTATATTAGAACAACACTGGAGCATGAAAAATTACACAAATTTAAATGTCGTTTAAAAAGCATAGAAACTCATACCATGCTTGTGTTCTTCAGCTTGTGTTATGTTGACATAACCTGCTAGGCAGATCACATAACTGTCAAGTTCCTGCTCAAACTTGAAAAGCCGAAAAGATGTTGACGCAAAAGCCGGGTCATCATCGTAGAGAATCCATACGTTCTTTGAGAGGTTGAAACACACAACTGTGTGAGTTCCATCACACAGCAGCAGAAACTGAAGCTCAAAGATCCTAAAAGACAAATAAGGATATTGAAGTACAACCCCCAGTCGAAATAGTCTTTGTGTCTGTCTGCAGCCCTTTTGTTGTATCATGTGCAGGTACATGCTTGGCCATATGGAGGTGCCCTGCTCTCTATAAGAGGTCACCAAGCCACTACATGGGAGATGTTAAAGGGCTCTCTCCCCTCTCATGTCACCTGGAAGCACACCTGTCCAGACCAAACTGGCTCTCTTCACTTCTCTCTGCCTTACTTCACTTCAATTGATACATGTGTGATATATAAGGTTTACTAGACTCTAAACATTTGACAAAAGCAGAGGATGAGTGTCTTTTGTTTTGATTATCCTTTTTCTCCTCTTTCTGTAGGAAGTTAGGATAGTAAGTTGTGTTTTTGTTCGGTTTCTTTTCAAGTTAGTTGGTTTTGTTATCTTTAGCTCTGGTTGTTTTTTACTTTTAGGCAGTCTCACTTTATTTGGATAGTCCACTATAGTTCCCCTATTGATTATCTACAGATGTTTAAGTTGTTACCAAACTGTTACCAAATCTGTTGAAACTCTGTTGACTGTAAACAGTGGTGGGGTTAGGGTTAGGATTTGGACCAGTGTTAGGGCTGGACCAGGGTGAGAGTTGGGGTTAAAGTTAGGGTTAAGATTAGAGCCAGGTTTAAAGTTAAAGAAAATTAAGGCCATTTTAGAAGATATTTAGTTGAATGTAACTTAAAGGTAAATTAAGTATCTACAAAGCATCTAAGGTGGACTATTCAAATACAGTCTTGCCTTTTAAGTATATGCTCATCCCTGAAGTCATTCTCCATTCAACTTAACAATAAACATGGGCTGATTCGGGTCTGGGGGCTCATCTGTCTCTCTCTCTCTCTCTCTCGTCTGGTGAGTATTTGTGTTTTATTTATTTGCTGGCTTTTTTGGTGAAGGGAGATGTGTGAGTATGATTGGAGTGAATTTTATTGCCTTTTTATTGCCCTTCAGTTGCTACTTGTTAGTAATTTCAGTCTGTCAACTTTTGGATGTTGAATTTCAGAAACGCCTGGAAAAGTGCTGGTGTTGCCTCAGGTGAGTCTACCCCTCGTTCCGGGGCAGGGGCTTGTAGGAGTGGATTAACAATTGCCTAGCACATGAAGTGTTAAGTAAAGCACGTACTTTGGCTTTGTAGCAGCAGGCACACACACACAACGTAGCCTAGTTCTTGCGTACTTTGATGAGTTCAGAGATGTCAAGTTTAGTGGAGAAAGTAAGAAGAGATTACCGGTAAACACAGGTAACCTTTTATCCAAACTGTCAGTCATTTGTTTTCAAACTAATTAAAGAAAATTACATTATTATCAGCAAACATACTACCAAACATGCAGCTGACTGGCTAATTAATCCCACCTAAACAAGTACTCTGTCCCATTTCTTTGTACTTTACTGTTTTAAAATAAAATAGTGCTTATTTACTAAACTTTTAAGCTGCCATGTATGTTTGATTGGTAAGCTAGCTACTTTAATTAATAAGCCCATAGCCTATGGTTTACTTGTATGTTACTCCTTTTGTCACAGTTTTGGAAGTAGACAGCTGTATAAAGCTAGGATACAGTAAATGTAGTCGAATACAGGTTCTCTATATGTTACGGGACAGCAGAGAGGCAGACCCAAGTGCAGAGAGGAAAACCCATGAGAAAGGGTCTTAATGTAGTTATGTTATAACTGAAGTTTGGGGGGAGGAGCATGGCTGAAACCCCTCCTTTTTTCAATCCAACGCCTATAAATTCACTTCTTCACCTTCCGTTCCTGTGACGAAGCATTCGCAATCCCCACCGCCACCCCATCTCCTCCCCGTTCCTCAGTCTTGCATCAGTCCTACTACAGCTATGAGGGGGATCAGGCTTTCTAGCTACAGGCAGAAGCTGCCCAGAACTCCAGCCCAAGTTCTCAGAGTTCTCCCCCCTCCCTCTATCAATTCTCCCTCATACTACCACCACATGTCGAAGGCATGGTCTGAACTTAATGAGGTGATGGAGTGCGAATTGAGTGCTTGTGCACATTAGAGTTGAGGTGTCTCGAAACGCCGATGTACTAATTGGCAGTCCAAGGAATTAGATAGCTGAGATTAAAAAAGATAAATAAAAGATAATACAAAAACAAAAGACACTTCCTCTGTGATTATGAAAGGAAGGTCAGCTTTACGTTTCCCCTGTTTGCTCTTTGTGGAACAAACACTTTGTATGGCTTGGAGCCGTTTCTTGTTTAAGCCTACTTTTTTGGCTTTTAAGTAGTTTTGGGGCAATCGCTCTCTTTTGTTTTGTCCAGCCCACTTTTCTTTTCTTTTCTTTTGCCTTTCATTTTGTTTAAACACCTACCGGGGCTAAGTACCATACCTGTCACCCCTCTACAAAGGTGGGACAAAGTGCTGCTGTTTGCCACGGCCTTAAGTAGAGGAGTCCACAGGTGTGCCAGGTTGGGCCTCATCAGCCCGAGGACTAAGAAGTGGAGTTCCCTGAACTTCTGGCACCTCGCCCCCATTGCCCTCTGCTGGCAGCCAGCGTTACAGGCTGGGCCCTTACACTATAAACTTTGGCCAATGATTTTGTCGCACTCAGATTTGCTTTTTAAGACTTACTGGCCTAAACAGTAATTGATTAGACTGTGGGTGGTGAAGTTCTCTCTCTCTGTCTCTCTATCTCTACCTCTTTCATTCTCTTTCTCTCTCTTTCTCTTTCTCTCTCTGACTGACTTTGTTTCAGTATGTCTTTAACTGTGTGAGAGGCTGTTCAGCTGTTTAACTGTCAAGTAACAATGCATTTCTGATGATGTTTGAAGTAATAATCATTAACAGATGAATATAAACATGAAGAAAAGAAATCTAAACTGGATTAATTGCTGCTATTATTAATCATTTTATTGGTTGAAGTGTACTACGTGGGTATCAGTGAATTGATACAGTTTGAAGGCTGTAAGCTGTTCAGGAAGTTAATGGGCAGCTAATGCGCAGTAAGGCTGTCACAAGAAATGACTAATTATTAATTCAGTATCTATCAATTATTTTGACTTTTATTTAAGTAATCTGTTAATAGCCTTCATTAAACAGTAACAAACTATGCACAGTCTTTCAGAGATTCTAAATGACTTCACTGGAAACAGTTAAACAGAGGTTTAACTGGGGTTTAACTGCTAATAAAATATCTGTTCAAAGCCAAGTCAAGATATGTCAATAGTTTAGTTTAAACTAGTTTAATGCAAACCTTTTTCTCACATAATTTAATTTGTTTTAGTTTTATTTGCACCGTGACCCAGAAGGATAAGCGGCTTAGATGATGATGATGATGTAGTTTTATTTGTATAGACTATTTCCAATTTCCAAGTCAAGATATGTCAATATTTTTCATGTTGTGGTTGCAGTAATTACACAAGTAGTATTCATGTAAACAACTTACAAACTCTTGCTTGAGTGATCCCTAACAGGGATTTTCAGTACTCTTTCCAAACATGAATCTAATGCACATCAGGCCCATTTTAGTGATCATTATTATTTTTGGTGAATTTGTAGAGTTACCTTTGGTTGTCATCTTCAACAGACAGGGGTGGTTTTGGAAGATTTATTCGAACATCTCGGTTCACCAGAATAAGAGCAGGATCATCTGCAAGGCCCAAAGCCTTCACATCCCCAAATGCCCGAAATTTGCTGGCAAGACAAATATGAGATTATGTAGCATTTGCATTTCTTTTGGGTCATTCTACCCCAACTCACCTAAGATCTTGAAAGTTATGTCCTAGATGCCCATGAAAAAAATTAAGCCAAAAGTTCTACATACTTCTTGCAAAAATTTTAGATTTGATCTGTCAGGGCTTACATGGTTTAACCTTATTATCTTTTAATGTTTATACTCATTGCTTACCTCAGTGTTGTTTCGTATATTGTACTGTCATCAGGGGTTTCTTGGTGATAATCAACTTGAGCACATACCAGTTTAGCAAACATTAGCAGATGGTCTTTCACACGACTTTTGCAATCAAGTATTAGTTTTTCAGGAAAATGCTTCAGCAGTCTCATCCAGAGAGCTTTTGCATCATCAAACTTTTCCGTGTTTAAATAAGCCATGATTACTCTGAGTGATATGTTTGATTCTAGGAGTGACTTCACATTTGGGTATTTGATAAAAGAAAAATGAAAAGCAGTCAGTATTGAGTCCAGGACAAATGTGTTGGTAAACTGGTATGAGCCAAAACGTCCACCCGCTCTTATGTAGACACCTCGAATTATCAGAATCAGCAGCGCTGGCAGTCCTGAATCTAAACGAACACTGAGAGAGAGATTATATAAAATAATAAACCTAAAAATTTTAAATCTTGAAAAGTATTATTTGCACTTTTACATCTTTAAATTGCTTACCTTGCTGGGTTTTCTGATTTGGAAAAAATGAGAAATAAGTACATAAAATGATAAAATTGGTTTGTATTCTGACGAGAATCCTTCTTAAAATTCTAATTTTAACTATGCCGTGAAAGTCATTCTTGAGTATAAAAGTAAATACCTTCACTGTTGAGGCATGGCCTACATTGACCCTGCTGCATTGATGGGGAAGAGCTGTTAAATCAAAGAAAATGTTTGTAAGTATGATGTGATCATGTGAGGCACATGTGTCTTCATGATTTATTAAATTAACATTTTACATTTCACTATGTACAGTAACTCACAACAGATGACAAAGAAACAGTAAAAAAGGAATGTAAAGCCCACGCTCACAAAAAAGAGATCAACAGTAGTGTTTCTCAACCATGGTCCTGGAGACCCACTGCAACGCACATTTTCGTGCCTTTGCCACTTTAACGGGATCAGGTGTGTTGGGAGCAGGGGAAACATTAAAGTGCAGGACAGTGGGTCTCCAGGACCAGGGTTGAGAAACACTGTTCTACAGCATATTGAAAGAAAAAATTTCAAATTCAAACTGACCCATCCATGTTCTGACCATTCTTTCATAGCCACTTCTGTGAGGTTGGACAAGCTTTACAAAAAATGTTGGCAAACATGCTTTTCATTTAGGATGATTTATATTGGAGTTTAGAATGTTTACGCTGTGTTTCCTGATAAAAATGCTATACTACCAAACAGGACAATGGCCATTTGGAAATGACATCATATTTGACACTATGCTAGCCATGTTCACGTTAGCTACATTATGTAATAAAAAGAAATTGCACCTATCCTAATAGTTCGACTTTCACATTAATTAATCAAATTCATGACATACCCTAAAATGGCCTGCTTTGAGAAAAACTGAGTTGTACTCTACCATTGTATGTAAAACTTAGGTCAAGAAATTGCCAATTGTCAATTGAAATTGCCTGTACATTAGCTATGATAGTAGCTATGAAAGAATGAATTTGTGGGAAGAACATGCATCATGGGTAGAGTCATCTAAACTCATACTCAAGTGAAAGTATTGGTACTTCAATGTAAAAAGTGACATATATAAAAGTGAAATATTTTTCCAAAAACAACTTGAATAGAAGGATCGGCAGCTTCTAAAGACATCAGCGTAGGAAGTGAAGTTTGTTATGTGGGTCCTTTTGATTTAAAATATCATGAAAAATTTTAAAGACCAAATTGCAAAGCTGTACAGATGCCTGGTGTAATGGAACAAAATTAAACATCAATTCACAGGGATAGGTCAGCAGTTATCTGGTGGATCTATCTAAACAAACATCATCTTCTTAAAAATCTTTCTAACTTTCTGTCTATTATCATTTAGAACTGATTATGCCTTATCCATTCAAAAATAATTAGTATTTGAGCAGCTACTTTAGATAGATCTTAGATGATGTGCCAAAATGTTACAAAAACAGTAAAAAAAAAGACATAAAAACAGTTTTAGAACAGAGCTAGCTACTTTACTTCATCATTGTGCTTTTTACTGAATAAAGATTTTATGGCATAAATAACAGCAACCACCACCACCACCAACATGACCAGCTCTACCACCACCACCAGCACCACCACTGCCACCTCCATCATGCAACTGACTCAGAAAGTTAAGCATCACCCAGAAATGCTAACATGGTCAGCAATGTTTCACATGAGTCACACCCCTGCTTGCCCAACAATAGAGAAATTGGCCTGCAGCAGTGATGTAGTAACCCTTAAACGGAAAGAAATGTGTTCTGCATGTAAACCACTCACATGTGCCTAGCCTGTTTGTATCTGGCATTGGAAACAAAACAAAAATGAAACGGAGACAAAAACGAAATGGAAAATGAAACATCATTGCATGTTATAAGTTTCATTTATGCTCACTGTTGCACTTCATATTCAATCTTTTGTTTCCTAAATTTCCCAAACATGCCTGAACAAGTTTCACTTCGAGTGTGCTTTTGGTTCCATGTCTAGTTCTGCTCGTGCGTAGGTCAACAGCTTCGATTTTTAGTATGATACTTTTGTCTAAAAAAATTACAGGAGCTAGTTTGGACGAAAAAGTGATGATAAAGTGCATAATTTAAGGTTTGCATTACCTTGTGCTCGCCATTGTATCGTGGAGGCAATGATCAACACTTCCTGTGTGTGACGTATATGTGGCGTGATCACGAAACACGTAACAATCAGCAATGCAGCTGAGATAGCACAGTTAGGAAGGGGGAAGTGAGATGCGTCACTCTGCAGCCACCATGCCATTTTATTCAGTGTTCCACAAGTGTTTCATCATTTACTGTTGCTTTTGAGAAAGAGCATCTTCAAAACAGAAACAGAAAAAAATGAAATGATGCAGATACAGGCATACCGTTTGAGTGTGTCGGTTTAGCCAATGGCCCTCTGTCTTATGACAGAGCTACATTTAAAATAAGGAAATAAATAGTAAATAAAGCAATAAACATAATCTTTATGGGTTTCTCCTTTTTAATACATGAAATTGAAGATGAAATGACAGCTTTTAAATTGTAATTATATTGTATTTACGTTTGCAAATACTAATAACAAGCTCTACTGAGAAAAATTCTTTTAATTAATAGTATCTCAGTGTCTGAGAAAGAGTTTACAGTATGATACTCATATGATGCTCTAAATATAAGGTGACAATTCAGTCTTTACAAACAGTTCTTCATTTATACTGTTGTTAGGCTATGTATACAATCTGTTAATGTGAATAAAAGCATTTTAAAAGTTTATGATGCTGTGAATTTAACATGTTATAATCTCAAACCCTTCATATCATTATTGTTCTTTGTTCTATATATTGCAAGATACTTTAATTTATGCACTATGTAGATCAATAGGTAGTGTTGTAGTACTTAAGTCCTATCCTATAAATAGTTTCAGTCTTGTCTTAGTTTCATCACCTTTTGGTCTCGGTCTTGTTTCAGTCTCAGGCTGGAGATGGACTCCAAGTGTCAGCAGAGTACAACGTCTCCATCTGAGGCAACTGGAAACAGAACTTTTCTATCATAATTGAATGTCATCAGAACCTTTAAACAGAATAAAACAGTGTCTCTACATGTTTAAAATAAATCTGTTTGTGGGTAGAATTAGGTGTTTGTTAATGTTCATTGGTTTCTAATTTGTTTCGGATATTTGGATGATGGATTTGCTTGTCAGATCGGCTAACGGATTCTTATACAAAACAAAAATAAATGAGTTCTGATATAAGTCAATGCTTATACTTTAAGCACATACCAGCAAAGTAGCCTACTGAGATTACGAACAATGAAGAAGTTTATACCTTCCTCACACTGTTCTACTTAAGATTTATTTATAAAGCAATTTTTGCAACAGGTGTTGTCACAAAGCTGCTCTACAGAAAATCTGGCTTCATGCCTCAAGCAAGCAAGATAAGGGCAGAAGTGGCAAGGAAAAACTACCTACAAGAGGACGAAAGCTTGAGAGAAACCACAACTCAAAAGGGGAACCTATCCTTCTCTGGTCGACACTGGATAGCAAAACAGTAAAGCAACAAAAGCAATATGAATAAAGAATAATAAATGTTTCTGAAGTCTCTGGTGGCCAACCACACTCGATCTCCTGGCTGATACACTGGTGTTTCACTCCTGTGTCGATCCGCCTGTTCCTTGTTCCTTTGCAACACGTTCTCAATACGTTGATGCGTTTGTTCCCAAACCTGTTCACTCCTTTGCATCCATGAGTCTACCGTGGGAACATCAGAGTGTGAACCAGTCCAAGGGGCTAAAGGAGGTTGACATCCTAGATAGCACTGAAAAGGAGTCATGGCAGTCGCAGAACTCGTGAGAGAGTTTTGTGCTATTTCAGCCCATGCCAAAAAACGAGACCAGTCTGTGGGATTCTCATAACAGAAAATTCTCAAAAATGTACCTAATTCTTGATTCATTCTCTCACATTGTCCGTTTGATTGAGGGTGATACCCGGAAGTAAGACTAATGGACACCCCGATGTTCTCAAAGAATGCCGCTCAAACTTGTGATGTAAACTGGGGTCCCCGGTCTGACACAATGTCCTCAGGTATACCAAATAAGCAAAAAACCTGATTGAATAAAGCTTCCGCTGTCTGAAATGTGCTAGGGATAGACGAAAAGGGGATAAATCTTACCCCCCCTGGAAAAACGGTCAATAATGGTCAAAATAGTGGTGTAGCCTTGTGACTCAGGCAGGTCTATTACAAAATCTACAGCAAGATGTGACCAAGGTCTATTAGGCACTGGTAAAGGCACTAGCTTACCAGCGGGCAAGGTTTTGGGTGTTTTACACAGTGAACATGTCGAACAGGATACTACAATGGCATGGATATCTTTGTGCATTGTTTCCCACCAATATCGGTGCGACAGGAGCTGATGTGTTCGAGTTTCTCCAGGATGACCAGATGTGAGGGAGGAATGGGCCCATGTAATTAGTCATGTGTGAAATGGGGACATATATCTTTTCTGAGGGGCATTGGCTTGGCACGCTAATGTTGGTCAATGCCTTCATAATGGCCTCATCTATTTCCCATCTAATAGATGAGATGGACACTTTAGGAGGAAAGATTCGTTCAGGAGTACTGGCCGGTGTAACAGGGTCGTCATTTTGGTGAATTCGAGATAGGGCATCTGCCTTAGTATTTCTAGAGCCTGGTCAATATGTAATATTAAAACTAAAATGTGAGAAGAACAGAGACCATCTGGCTTGGCGAGCATTCAGGCGTTTGGCATTACGGAGATAGTCCAAGTTCTTATGATCAGTGAGAACGACAAAAGGATGATTTGCTCCTTCCAGCCAGTGTAGCCATTCTTCTAATGCAAGCTTGACAGCTAGCAGTTCTCGGTCTCCGATACCATAATTCTTTTCTGCAGGAGATAACTTGTGTGAAAAAAAAGGCAACTGGGTGTAATTTGGGAGGATTACCAGAGAGTTGGGACAAAATGGCCCCGATCCCAGTCTCGGAGGCATCTACTTCGACTACAAAAGGCTCCGACGGGTCTGGGTGTTTAAGAATGGGAGCAGTCTTGAAAGCCTCTTTTAACTTCTTAAAAGCACTCTCAGCTTGTTCTGTGCATCTAAGTTTCTTGGGTCCACCTTTTAGTAGAGATGTAAGGGGAGCTGCAACAGTGCTGAAATTACGTAAAAACGGCGGTAAAAAAATTGCAAAACCTAGGAATCTCTGTAGTTCCTCGACAGAAGAGGGAGCAGGCCATTGTAAGACTGCGTCTACCTTATGGTCATCCATGATGACACCTTGGGCACTAATGATGTATCCTAGAAACTAAATGGATTCAAGGTGAAACTCACATTTCTCTGCCTTTAAAAAACAAATTATTATCCAATAACCGCTTCAAAACGGAATGGACGTGGTGAACATGTGTGGCCTGATCTGGGGAGTACACGAGGATATCGTCTAAATAAGCAACTACATATTTCCCTAGCATGTCTCTTAGCACGTCATTGATGAAAGCCTGAAAGACGGAGGGGGCGATAGAGAGTCCGAAGGGCATGACCAAGTATTCATAGTGCCCCCTAGTGGTCACAAAAGCAGTCTTCCATTCATCCCCTTTCCGTATTCTAATTAGGTTATACGCACTCCTGAGATCTAACTTTGTGAAGTACTTGGCACCTTTTAATTGTTCTAATGATACTGGAACTAAGGGAAGAGGATATGGGTACATTTTGGTAATCTGGTTAAGTGCAAGATAATCTATACATGGACGTAGTCCCCCGTCTTTCTTCTTAATGAAGAAAAAACTAGAAGCAAAGGGGGAAGTGGATGGTCAAATGAACCCTTGTTCTAAAGCTTCTTGGATATATGTATCTAAAGCTATTTCTTCCTCCTGTGTCAGAGGGTAGATTCTAGATTTGGGAAAATGATTATCCACTAGCTCAATAGCACAGTCGTATTCTCTATGTGGGGGTAGTTTGGTAGCATTCGTCTTATTAAAGGCTTCTTTTAAGTCTGCGTATTCTGGAGGGATGTTTACTGCACTAATGGCGTTAGGGCTCTCTATGGAGGTGGACGAGACAGAAATTGTGGGTTGGGTGATACAGGCTTGCATACAAAAATCAGACCATCTGAGGATAGTGTGAGCAGACCAGGAAATAGATGGGTTGTGTTTCTTTAGCCAGGGAAGACCTAATATCATTTCGAATTCGGAATGTTCAAGCACTAAAAAGGGTAGAGTTTCTTTGTGGAGAGCACTGGTCATTAATGACAGGGGCTGAGTCACTTGAGAGATGGTTCCCAGGCCTACAGGTCCTCCGTCCAGTGCAGCCACCTTCAACGGGGTTTTCAGGTTTTCCACAGGAATTTGAAGTTCCTCCACCAGACGGCATGAATGAAGTTCCCCTCCGCTCCCGAATCTAGTAGAGCTGAGACAATAACAGATTGGGGATGACAGTATACAGTAACAGACAACATGAAGGACTTTGAAACCAACCTCTTTGTGGGCACACTCACCACATTCATGTCCAGGGGTTGGCGCCTTATGTGTTTGTGGTCTGGCTCGACACTCACAAAGCTGATGTCCAGCATTACCACAGTACAAACACAGATGATTCTTCATCCGGCGCTGTCTTTCCTCTTGTGACAAGCGAAAAGAGTCACACTGCATGGGTTCCGAAGTTTCCTGTGGTTCTGATGCGACTTTCCCTCTTGTCGGTAGTCTTCTGACATTCCTTTCCATCTTTGGCTTGCTGCGATGGTGCAGGAGATGGTCTAATCGGATGGCCAGGGTGATGAGCTGATCCAGATTCAAGTCATCATCTTTGCATGCAAGTTCTGTTAGGATCTCAGGATTCAGTCCTTGTCTAAACATTACTAACAGGGCTGCCTCATTCCAGCCACTGCTAGCAGCTAAAGTACGGAACTCCAGAGAATAATCTACGATTGAGCGATTGCCCTGACGTAATTTGGACAGTAATTCCCCACTAACCTTGCCTTCATACTGGTGGTCAAAAACGGTTTTAAACTCCTGAATGAACTGAGAGTACGATATGCGATGAATGTTAGTCCAGCTTGCTGTTGCCCACTCGAGAGCCTTGTCTGCCAAGCGAGAAACTATAAACGAAATCTTGGCTCGGTCAGAACTACTTGAGGAATTCTCAAAGTAAACTGAGCACTGCAGCAGAAACCCACGGCACTTATCGGGATCACCATCATATTTATCGGGTTTACTAATGAGAAAGACAGCACAGGTAGTCTCAGCCTGAGATTGGGGCCGATTAATATTAACCTCTGTGTCAGCAAGGCTCATATTCTGAAGTTGAGTAGTTAACCCCTTCACACTCTCAACTAGATGGACTAATTGAGCCTGCTGGTCAGACTGCTGGTGAGCTAAGGATTCGAGGGATTGAGTTACTCCAGACAATACCTGTTGGTGTTGTCCTGGCATTTGTCCTTGCTCTGCCAGAGCTTTCTGGAAGTCCCCAGAATCCGCCGTCTGCATTGTAGGCGAGGTATTCTGTAACGTGCCAAGCAGATTCAGACATTCGCAAATGTAATATACAGAAGGGGCTTTACTGAGAGAATCACAGTTCAAAGTCGTCATCACAAAACAGGCAGTGTTCGAATCCAAAAGGCATAGGAGGTACAAACAAACATACATCTGACAATACATCCAGTCCAAAAAAGGGAAAGGCAATAGCGTGGTCAAAGATACAGGCAATGGGTCAAAAACAGTAATCCGAAATAAGGCAAACAAATCCGAAGGGCAGAGGAAAAAGGCAAAGTCGAGAAAACGAAAGGCAAAGATCATACACAAAAATACACTCCAAGAAAAGAACACTCAGTCGATCGCAAAAGTGGATACAATATCTCACAACTAGAGCTAAAGCCTGGGCCTAAATACTAAACTAAGTATGTCATATGACAAGTAACACAGGTGCTTCACATCAGTATTCTGGAGATCTAGAGTGCTGATAGGAGCGCGGAGTCACGTGAGGAGTCGATTCATCTCGGTGTTGTCAGTTACGGGAAGCTCATATGACATATAAGTCATATGATCTCCCAGAGGATTCTGGGAGATTGAGTCCGAATCTACATTGGAGCTCTGTGGATACGTGACACATCCCAAAACTGGAAGATACTGACCTGGTAAAAAGGTACAGAATAGAAAAAAAACAGAAAAAGCAAAAAGGGGCACTGCCAGACCATAATAATCCTATTGTTAAGTTAGGCTTTTTGCACAGCTAGACGGTGAGTGGGAATGAGTTAGGGAAGTTTTTAGGTAAGTTAGTTCCCTAAATTCCCTAACTAGATTGGTTATGTTTTCTGTTTTGCTGCAGGCCCACTCTGGTGTTTGTCCTGTGTTGTGTCACGCATCCTCAGAGTACCTCGTTGGATTCGGACTCAATCTCCCAGAATCCTCTGGGAGATCACATGACCTCCACACAGCCAACCAATGCCGACACTAACCTGGACACAACATCCCAGAATTCTACGGGAGATCACCTGACTCCTCACGTGACTTCCCGCTCCTATCAGCGTTCTCGTTCGCCTGAATTCTAATAGGTGTCACCTGTGTTCTTGATCATATGACAACTCTAGTTTAGTTTACAGCCCGGGCTTTAGCATAGGGACTTTGCGAGGTATTGTATCCACTGTGTGATCTACTAAGCATTCTTTCCATTGTATGTTTTTTCGTGTATGACCTTTGCCTTTCGTTTCTCGACTTCGCCCTTTTTGCTCTGCCCTTCGGATTATTTGCCATTGTGTACGATCTCTGATTTTTGACCTTTTGCCTGTATTCCTGACTACGTTTTTGCCTCTCCCTTTTTGGACATTCCACCTGGTGTTATGATTGAGTGTTTGCTTCTTTTGTGCTTTCTGGAATTGACCCATGCTTGTTTTGTGATGACGACTTTGGATTGTGATTCTATCAGTAAAGCCTCCTTGGAGTTTTATTTCTGCGAGCATCTGAATCTGCTTGGCGCGTTACATGTTGGTGTACAAAAGAGCAGCAAAAGAAAAGAAAATAACATGACTTGATTTGTTTAAATGCTGAATGGCTCTCTTTTGCTTTCTTGTTTTTTTTTATGTTATGACTTTTGCAAAACTCTAGACTGGTCGTAACAGGGACAACACCAAAAATGCCAAAATGCTCTACATCCATAAACCCCAGATCTGCACCTTTTATCTAACAGGAAAAATGACCAAATGCTTCACCAAAGTAGTTTGTCTAGCCTAGATGTTTTGCAAATTTTCATGTCAAGCCCTGGTTATTGTAAATTTTGCATGGTCATAGCATGGTCACATTATGCTATTTCTAACTATGAAGACAAAGAAAAATAAGACAATTTAAGTGTGCATGTGAATGATCAGAATTTCTTATTCTTTTCAAACTTATATCCAGTGCCACACTGATTCTCCATGATCAGATCTTGACCCCTCTTCAGCCACTGGAATGCCCACTGAAACAACAGACACATGAGACAGCCAGTGCTTTTAATCTACTCAGAAATGAAATCATGAAAAGATGGTTTAAAACTACTGTCAATAAAAACGACACAGAGAAGAATGAGCTCTAATTGCATTGATCTCAGTATCTTAATAATTATAAACATAAATCCTTTAAAAAAAACTGGACCATTATGCTACCTTAGGTACAGCTCTACTATACCTCTCTTGCGTCCAGGTGGTATCTTGGCATAGCCAGCCAAGTAAACAGAATAATCACATCTGAAATTTGCACGGTTAAAGCTGAAATCTCTGTCGGATACTTCATTGGAGCCATGCAGGACCCATCTATCAACCAGCTTGCTACACACAACCATGTGTTTTCCTGTCACCTTCCTCCACAGAAGCAAAAACTGAAGTTCAAATGTTCTGAGAGAGAAATGTATATCATCATATTAATTGCATAATCAAAAAAGTTGGCAGTTGAAACACAATGTACTAAAAACAGTGTAATTACACAATTTTGTATGCATGCATTTCTCTCCTTTTCAAATATTTTGTTTATAGTATTTACCGGTCTTTGACATTAAGTGGTGGAGCTGTATTCATACAGCCATCAGTGTTTACCAATATTAGGCAGGGGTCTCCATCTGCTTTGCCCAGAATAGTCACTTCTCCATAGCGTTGGAATTCACTAAAAATACACACAGATACACTTCTAATAACATTTATACATTGTACCCCAAAGAGTTATTTTACACCCTTACCTAATTGTTTAGAATTAGAGATGAGAGGCAGAGCAAACATAATGCTTAAGATATTGATATTTACCAGTGTATGCTTTTAATCTCAACATGGTCTTTGGAGCATACCAGTTGTCTAAACATTGACAAATGGTCCTTAGCCTCACTCCAAACATCAACTGTTGCAGACGTTTTGAATTTACAGTGATCATCCAAAAGCTTCAAATGAATTAACCGAAGAGCTTTAGCTTGATCACGCTTGTTTGCATATAAGTAATTCATGATTGAGTTCAGTATAAAGTCAGATTGGAACAGTAGATGAATGTTTTCAAATTTGATGTGACAGATGTAAAGTGCAACAAGGAGTAAGTCAAGGACACATGTGTTTATAAACTGGTATGAACCATAGTGACCGCCAGCTTTTACATAGCTGCACCAGTCATCAGTCATTTCCAGTTTCTTCAAGTCCAGAAGACGGCTGTAAAGATGACATACATGAGAAGATTTGTTGACGATATTACTAAAATGTTTTATGAAAACTGGATCCATTGTGAGTATCCAAACCAATGAGACATACAACAGGCCAAGATGAGATAGATAACATACATAAAACACATTTATGAAATAATTACATTAGTAACACTGTACAATAAGTGTTTACTTATATTAAGTAATGCATTTGTTATCATGAAAAACACTTGCAGTGCTACATTAATGATGGTTAGCTAATATTAATTAATGATGTTTTCACATTAAGTGTTGACTAACAATAATTAATGCATTTTTGACATTAAAAATGCATGATACTACGATCATAATGATTATATAATATTTTTGGGTTTAATTTCATCCTGTTGTAATGGTTCAGCTCTTGGACTGCTTAACTTTTGCTGACACCACTCATTTCAGAGCTTTAGTATTTTTTTAGAGCAAAATGATACAAAAGGAAATGAATAAAGCCATACTAACTTCATTCCTTATGCTGATAGATGCTGCATGTAATAAGAAGCTTCACTGCAGTTCAATGATTTACTTAAGCAGTTTTCAAACTGACATGTTTGTACTTCTTCTTGGATTTTTTTGGTACAAAGGGTTTCAAAGTCTTTTCTCTTGCCTGTGACCGTGTACTACCATCAATAATTCTTTGTCATATCAGCCTTAATTGATTCTGGAGCTGAGGGGAACATCCTCCACACTGAACTCATAGAGAAGCTACAGATCCCAGTGGAACCCCTGAAGTCAACCTTCCCGGTTGTTGCTTTAGATGGGGGTCCATTGGGAGCTGGATCCATCGCTCACAAGACAAAACCTGTTAGATCAGTCACTAGCTCCCTTCACATTAAGCTAATAACTTTTCTCCTTCCAGAATCTTCTGAATTTTCTGTATTTTAGGCCTACCTTGGTTAGAGAAACATCATCCCTGTATTTCCTGGTCACAACATGAGTTATTGTGTTGGCCCGATTTCTGTTTTGAGCATTGTTTCACACATGCTAAAATAACAATCAAGTCAATATCCATTGAAAACCTTGATAATGATTCTCCTGTTAAAATCTCCTTGGAATACACAAATCTCCAGGAGGTTTTTAGTAAAGACAATGCCACTTAGATACCTCTCCATCGTTCTTATGATTGTGCAATCACGTTTATTGAAAAATACACTCTGCCAAAGTCTAGAATCTACCCAGTAACACAAGAGGAGGAGAAAGCTATGGACACCAATATTCAAGCATTAGAACAAGGTTTTATAAGGACCTTCCACCTCCCAGGTAGCTTCAGGATTTTCCTTTGTCAAAAAATGAGAATGGAGGACTTTGTCTGTGTATAGATTATAGGGGCTGAATCATATCACCAAGAAGTACCCTGACCCGCTTACATTAATCCCAGTTGCTCTAGAGCAGTAATGTGGAGCTAAGATCTTCACAAAACTAGATCTCCGAAGCGCCCATAATCTTACAGAATTTGTGAAGGGGACAAAATGGAAGACAGCTTTTGTGACCACTAGAGGGCACTATGAATATCTGGTAATGGTGTTCGGCCTTTTGAATGCTCCATCTGTGTTCCAAGCATTTATAAATGACATCTTAAGAGACATGATAGGGAAATTTGTGATTGCCTACATTAATATCCTCATCTACTCTCCAGACCCCAAGACCCATGTAGAACAGGTTCATTTAGTGCTAAAATACTTGAACATAACTTGTTTGTGAAAGGAGAAAAGTGCGAGATCTCCAGCCTGTCACCTTCCTTAGTTATATCATCAGCTCCAGTGGTGTCATCATGGATTACCACAAGGTCAAAGCGCTTGTATATTGTATGTTGTATATCAAGAAAATAAATGGTGTAGCTTATAAACTTGATCTGCCTGCCCGTTAGCAGGTTTCCCGATGTTTTCATGTCTCCCTTCGCAAGCCAGTAGTTCCAAGTCCGTTGGATGAGGCTACGCCCAATGTCACATCTGGAGAATGTGGAAGGAGCTCCTCTGTATGCTGTTCGTCCATTACAGGACTCAAGAAGAAGAGGAGGGGAGCTTCGATACCTGGTGGGCTGGGAAGGGGGGCACCCCTGCACAGGATGTCCCGGATCCGGGATTGGTGGCTGATTTTCACCGTCAGCCTTCTGATAAGAATGCTCCTCATCCTAGGGGTTGTCCTAGGAGGGTTATTTCCAGTCCTGCCCCCGGTCGCCTCCAAGGCCATCAGAGGAGAGCTCCATCAGTCCAGCACAAAGACAGCTCTGGAGTTGCTCCTGTTCCTGCCTCCGGTCATGTGAGTAGTGGTCGTCGCAGCCATCCTCATTCCTCGACCATCCTGGACTCCTTGTATTGTACAATGTATTGCTTTGTATGTATAGCGCTACTGAGCATCACTTCCTGTACATTGTCTCACTGTTAACCAGACTTTATTTCTGTACTTTCTGACTTTGTTTTTGCCTTCTCCTTTGGATTTGTTGCGTGGATTTTTGTGGTTTGTTACATTTGTAAACTTATAATCACATAATTCTAAATGATTATTGAATAGACAGAAATGACTTGTTTAACCAAAATAAACTACCACTAGAACATTACACACTTTAAGTGAAAACTCAGTCTTAGCAATACATCAATATTGCCTAGTACACATTTCTAAACATCAATAAGAATTTGTTCAATCCATTTAATACACCTGATATAAAATTAAAAAATAATAATAGTTAAATAGTTAAAATAAGTCATTTTAAGTCTTAGCCTTGAATTAATGCAATTTCGTTTTAAATTAATATTAGCTTGCCATTATAAATGTAGTATCTGATATGTTTTTTAAGGTTAGCAAATACACTTGTTAATGTTAGTCAACACTCAATGTGAAAACAACATTACCTAATGCACTTTTTACAAGTTTACTGAATATTAACTAACCAGTATTAATGTAATACCTCATGTTTTGCTCATGTTAACAAATGCATTGTTTAATGTTAGTTAGTCAATGCTTACTGTGAACTATTACTATTTTGTTACGAAAAAATGTATAAAATGTACCTTGTGTTTTTTACTTGTACAGCAGCTATATTTGATAAGGAACCAGCGCTGCACCACATAAACACAAACATACTTAAACATCAGAGCCATCTTCTTCCCAAATGTAACATATGTCATGTATGTTGTGAAGTGATTGTCCATCATTACCTTTAAGCAGATGATCATATTCCAGCAGTAACTCATCACGGTGCTTGGATCCAAAGCTAAAATATCAGGCAATCTTCTGTCGTATGTTCAAGCTGAAAAAATACATAAACAATGTTATTTGATGAATGTTAGAAAGAAAGAGTCATTTTTTACCTCTACTGTCCTTTCTCACACTACCAAAATATACAGTAAAGAGCTACAGCTCTGTCGAGACCTGCCTTCTTGTATTTTTACCCTTCAGGGTAGTTCTACCTCACTGACAAGCATGGCATGGTAATGTAACTTACAAGCACAGAGCTAATCAGACGGGGCTCTTTTGCTGACACCGTGGTTGCCAGCACAACAGTAAAAAGTTTATCGCATACCTTGTCTAACAGAATAATCATTATCTACCATTAGTTGATCAAGACAACAAAAAATTAAAAAAACAAGCATTTTAAGCAGAGAATTAGCATTCATTACCTGCTGTTACCCATTTCAAGGTGCTTATGTATGAGACACAGAGCGTCAAACTGTACTCGTTGCCAGGCTAAATGGACTTTCCCGCGCTAGAGTAATTTCCGTCTCACCAATAGGAGTCATTTCTTCCGGTTCCAAAAAGCCTCTTTCTCAATCAGCCAAAATCTGTTATTTTAATACAAGGATTGTTTGTTATTTTATAGAACAAAAAATCAAAAATCAATGAAAACTTATTGTACCTTCTGTTTAACAAAATTTGGTTAAAATCTGGTTAAAACAACTGTTTATGTAAGAGTAAAACAGGAAAACATAAAAAAAGGATTTTTATTTAAATAAACTCTACAATAAAGCCTGTTTACCTACTTAAAATGATTCACACTCAAATGTAGAACATAGCGATGAATGTGTAAAAAAAATGTGTAAAACAGTATTCAACAACTAAACATCTCTCTCATCTTCAGTTATAATTACTGTTACGATAGTACTCATGCTTTGATTTTGGGATATAAATGCTTTGATTTTGGAATATAAATTTCCATAGGCGATTACACAGAATGTTTATGCAGCAAAATGCCTTTATACACTGTCAGAAATAAAGGTTCTATACAGGTACATTTTTTGTTCATCAAGGTATGAACAATGGAAATGTTCCCTCAAAGGTAGAACAGTGGTTTTAAGATCCAATTGTGTACCTTAAATAAGTTTTTTCTCCCAGGACAAAACTATGTATTTGTACCTTTTCATAACCTAATATTTTAAAACAGAACAATACAATAAAAAGCCTGGAGATGAGACGGGGTGTGTGGGGTCAATACAACTTGAGGGTACCATCCCAGTGACAAGAGTGGTACTGTCCCAGTGACAGTTTTACCTTTTTTCTGAGAGTGTGTGATAATCTGCAGTTGACAAACTGCAAACTCATGAAAGTCATGATAATGGGGTATGTAAGGCTCAGGCAGTAGTGAAGTGTCCATGAGCAGGGTCTTTTAAACAGGATTGCACAAAAAAGTCCAAATCTCAAAGTCAGTAAAACAGGCACAAGGTCCAGAACCAGATATAAGCCCAAAGCCACAAGCAAGAGAGATCTGTCAACACTCCACAATCTGGCTTGAAAACTGGAGAGGTATTTAAAAGGGAGACTAATGAAGAAGAAATTTTCTTCAGGTGTGAAGAACAACGGTTAGTAATCAGGTGAACAGCTGGTGGACAGAACAGGGAATAGCAGGGGAGGATATGACAAGCAACATTATACAGATAAGAGGCACATTGCATGACTACACTTTGCAATAAATGAGTGATGTGAACAAAAAATATGCAGTGTTTAGGGTTACAGGATAATTACTGAGTTGTGATAGTGACAGACAGTGGTGCAAGAACCTTGCTTAATGGTAGTGAACAGTGAACAAGTCAGATAGTAATATAGTAGAAACAGCAGCATGTTATGTGGCTCAGTACTTACAGTGTGAAACTACAGTGTAAACCCTTTCTACAGTACAAACGTTCTTCAACTGGACTTTGGCGAGGCTGAAAACAGAGAGTGATTGTGTAGAAATATTCTCAATAAAGGCAGAGTAGAAATCAGGACAGCCTTCAAAATGTTCATTGTCCTCAGCTAATTTGAAAGGTTCAAAAAGCTTTCCCAATAATGGTGTCAAATTTGCTAGGCCATTTCAAGGTAATGCAGAAGGTGGTCTCCAAGTCCATAAACTATTCAACGATATTAAGCACTGTGTATTTAATTTCCAGGGGAAAGCAGGAATCATGGCCGCTCCATCCTCTGAAAACTACAGCTCCCAGAATCCCCAGTCAAAAGCCATACCTTCTACTCACCTGACTCTCATTCCCACTCACTCAACCTTCAGTATGTAAACCCTGTGCTTTGTCTCATTCTGTGAAGTCGAAACTACATTTTGAGCCTTTGTTTACTCTGTATTGGAAAATTTAAATTTCTATTTAATATTGCCTCTTGAATTACATTTATAGTGAACTTGGCTAATAAGCCTCTTCCAGATTTTGATCCTGCCAGCTTTTAGATTGACTCTTTGTTCCTGCATCCTTCTCCGCTCCTTACTGCAAGCCTAAATGACTTGGCTACAGCTCTGCCTTCAGAAGAGCCTTGACCTCTCCCAGGAATCATTCCAGTTATCTACAAAGTCTGTGTGCTCATTCACAAGTTGATTAAGCTGTGTTGTGCAAATAGCCTTTTATAGTATAAAGCCGCTCTCTCTTAAGTAAGTCAAAAGGCTGTGTATTGAAATTTAGGATGAGTCCCTAACTTGGCAAGTCAGCTCCATAGTTGCTTAGCAGTACTGCAAAATGAAGCACCCTCTCACACAATGCTACAAACAAGGAGGGTGAAGGTTAGCACATCACTGTTGTCAGAAGAAAACCTTGTATCTCCAAAATGGTAACTTTACAGGAGAAGGAAAAACCTACTTTACCCTTTAATGTAAGTCAATGGAACCAGACATTTTTCCAAGTGGTTTTGGGCCGTTTCTTTTGGTCCATTCATTATGAGCTTTACACACAGAGTAAAGGGCAACAGGTATTTTCAAATTATGTCAAAAATTGAAAAACGAGAAAAAAAAGAGACCTTTTGCTGCCAGCAGCTATACACACCTATACCACCACGTTTGACAGTTGAGATGGTTTGCTGTGGACCATGAACACTTGCTTTCCCCAACCTTTTCCTCAGTGCAGTCTGGCTTTTCTGGTCTTGAGGCTTACCAGTGATGTGCATCTTGGAGTCAAAGCCTTCTTAGGCCAAGCTTGTGTGCTGTATCCTTGTGTGCAGTATGGTGGCATTTGACACATCTTCTTAAACTGTTCAACAGTTGCAAAAAGCTGTTTCCTGGCTGCTAGACTGTTTGCTATTGCTAAGCTCATCAACAGGTATTTTTGGCTGTGTCTCATTCTGATTTTCCAGCTTCATGATGGCTTGTTTTACTGACATCAACAATTCTTTAGTGTTTTACTAAGAAAAGTTTCCATATCTAGAATCAACTCTAGACCTCTTTACAAAAAAACACTTGAACAGTCCAATACTTTTGGTCACCTACAATGGGAGGACTGAAAATCTGTAATCTGTATATGGTTAATAAGATGTGGTAAAACCCTCGAAGTAAAGTAGATGCTTTGCACTTTAATTTTGTAGTGATTGTTTTATTTCATATGTGCTGGAGTACAGAAAAGATAGCAAGAAATGTTCCACTGCTCAAATACTGCATATAATAAAAGCATACTGTTGCTGCATGTTGATGTGATATCACTTACATTTATACATTAATACATACACATACATTTATGCATTAATGCTTTAAATACGGCTACAATCAAAGTTAACAAGTAAACTTTTCAAAGAGGAACTTCACAAAAACAAAATCTTGGGCCCACTCCAATAGCTAGTTGCACCACCTGGGTAATACTTCATGAACACATTACAATGAAAATTAAGGCTAATGTAAAAAAATGTAAAAAAAAAAAAAATGTCAGTTAGCTTTGTGAAACAAGGTAACAAGTGATGCATAGCAGCAAATATTATAACGGTTTTTGGCATGAAATGGTGCACCCAGCTTACATTCTGTTCATAAAGAGAGACATGCATGCATTCGATTTGATCACATGGTATTTAAAGCTTATTCTGAGGTCAGAGCTTAGCCCAATAGTGTAGTTATTCAGAGGTGCCACAGGATAGATCTCCCAAGTTCATCAGTACATCATCCACAGACTCTTCAGGAATATTTCGCTGCCCTGATGAATCTGAGTCGAAAGCCTGTGCTCCTGTTCCAGTCTCGGGAATGCCTACAAATAAAGGAAAAGCAAGCCAATGTATATGGAGGAAACCCCAAACCAAAGTGCCATTTAAAAAAAGCATAAGAACTCATACCATGTTTATGCTCTTCAGCTTGGGTTGTGTTGACATAGCCAGCTAGGCAGATCATATAACGGTCAAGTTCCTCTTCAAACTTGAAACGCCGAAAAGACCTGCAAGCCGGATCGTCATCATAGAGAATCCAGATGTTCTCTGAGAAGTTGAAACACATGACCATGTGAGTTCCTTCACCCAGCAGCAGAAACTGAAGCTCAAAGATCCTAAAACAAAGAGGACAATGGTTGTGGTACGTGGATTATCACAGAGGTCAACTAATGTACTTCAGGGCATTTATTTTTTTGATTGATATTATTTTTGGTGAATTTGTAGTTACCTTTGGTTGTCATCTTTAACACACAGTGGTGGTTTGGGAAGTTTAGGAAGGTTTAACTGAACAAATCGATGCACCAGAATGAGAGCAGGATCATCCATATGCCCCAAAGCCTTCACATCACCAAGTGCCCGAAATTTGCTGGCAAGACAAATATGAGATTACATGGATCCAAACTGTCCATTTAATTCCTGCAACCATGCAACATTTAGAAAATGTGTTCAATTTTATTCATAAGTTAAAGAATGTTTAACCCCCTGGGGTCGACGAATGCACTGGCGCATCAAATGAGATGTTTCTTGTTGTTTCTATTAATGTCTTTGCAATAATACAGCGCAGAAATACAGTTCAAACAGGTCCTGAATCTGCAGAGTCGCACTTTTGATTCCATCACATCTTGAAATTGTATGTGACTCACACCCAGAGTTATGTGCCAATGAAGACAAGTTGAGACATACGCCATCTGTCTGTCACTGTGTGTAACTGATGGATTTGTGTGTCCGTCATCTGCTCCTCAGCTGTAATTGGTAGATTTGTGTATCTGTCTATATTAAACTGACAAATGGACACTCAGGAAATGACTAAGGACTGACCAATCACATCTAAAAGTTCATTTTCCATTCAGTCGCTGCACAGATGCAAATTGTGTATAAAAAGGTCGCAGGCGCTGAAGTTGTTGTGATGAGGATAACATTTATCTACTATTTTATTCATATATATCCCGCTACTTTTGTGAAGCTAAGACTTTGGTAAACCCATTTCCGGCACCAAAACAATTCATCCATATGTGTAAAGCCATGTTTTCATAAGCACTATTAAGAATTTCTGGAAATAGACTTCAACTTTCAGGCCCAATTATCTCTTCACACAGTCCTGCAGGTCAAAAGCGCCTCAATATAGAGAGAGCTGAGATTGTTCAGAACATTTTGATATATAAGATGTGGTTATCATGTCGAATGCAAGCACTCTTAAAGGCGAATTTAAAGGATATACGCAAGAAAATGCCCTAAGACCCCAGAGGGTTAAGGGCATGAGGCCCTAGCTAAGTTGGCATGAAATAAACCTATTTTCTTTATTGTTTATATTCATTGCTCACCTCAGCGTTGTTTCATATATGGGATTGCCATTAGGGGTTTCTTGCCGGTAATCTACTTCAGCATATACCAGTTTAGCAAACATTGGAAAATGGTCTTGCACACTACTTTTACAATCAAGTATTTTATTTTTAGGAAAATGCCTGAGCTGTCTCAACCAGAGAGCTTTTGCATCATCAAACTTTTCTGTGTTTAAATAAGCCATGATTACTCTGAGAGAGATGTTTGATTCTAAGAGAGACTTCACATTTGGGTATTTGATGTAACAAATATGGAAAGCGGCCAGGATCGAGTCCAGGACACACGTATTGGTAAACCAGTATGAGCTGAAATGACCACCCGCTTTTAGGTAGACACCATGAAATATCAGCATCATCAGTGCCGGGAGCCCTAAATATGAATGAGAACTGAGAGAGATAAACAGTTAAAATCAAAAATTGAAAATCTTGAACAATATTCATTCCTCTTTTAACATAAGGACATTAGTAACACTTTCTTTGAATGCGACCTTAAGTTCTAGGTATTAACCAGTTAAGTGTAGATACAAACTCCAAAGTAAGGTGAGGTAATTATGTTTGGGTAATGTGATGGTGAGATCTAAGGCCGTCTACCTATATTACACTGAAATGCCCAACGGGTCACAGACATTAGCAAGGTAAATATGTGGTACAAACCAATTATTTTGGTTAAAAAGTCTGGGGAAGTTACATGTTGTAAATCATTAATGTTACATCAGTTCAATAGCTAGAACCTGATAGCCATTTTCAGACTGTCATCACTTAACCCAAAAAAAATTGCACAGCACTTTGAGTAATTTAGTTAAACCGTCTAAGAACTTACTATTTCATCCAAAATAATTACCTAGTACTTTGGAGATGGTACCTCACACTTATGAGATTAATATCTAGAACTTATAGGACTGTAAAAAAATAAATATCTTTAAAATGCTTACCTTGCAGTGTTCTCTGATTTGGCATCAGAATTTGGAGAAATAAGAGATAAGTACGTAAAATGTTAGAATCTGGCAGAGAATCCTTAAAATTTAGACTATGCATTAAAAGTTTTATTAAGCATAAATGTAAATACCTGCTATGTTGAATGGCTCATATGGGCATTGCCGCTTAGGTGAAGGAGGGCTGTTAAATTAGACAAAACATTAAGTAAAATGTGATTGTGTGATGAGGAATATGTGTCTTCATATTACCCATTCCCAAATTGCATCAATGTTGCATCAAGCATACTGTCAGAAATAAAGGTACTGTGTAGGTACATTTTTTTGTTCATTGAGATACAAACAATGTATATGTACCTTCAAAGGGACAAAAATGGCCTTCTGTGTACATTGTGTACATTTAGTAAGTTTTTCCCACTTGTTACATATATGTGTATGATCTAGCTGTGTATGTATTACATTACATACACATTTTGTATCTTTCCATGACCTAATGTTTTAAAATAGAACAATAAAATAAAAGGCCTGGAGACGAGACAGGGTGTGTGGGGTCAATACAACTAAACTATAATTGAAATGGATTATGAAACAATACGTGACGAGGGGTACCAGCCCCAGTGACAGTTGCGTACCTTTTTTCTGAGAGTGTACACTGACCTTGAAATTTCTGATCAGAACCTTCAGAAATGCAGTGCAAGTAATTGTGAAACTAGCATTTTACATTTTAATATGTACAATAACTCATTAAAGATCCCAAAGAAAAAGGAAAAAAGGAATATCAAGCACAGCCACACAAAAAAAGAGATACACAGCATATTTACACCGATGAGCCAAAACATTATGAACACTCACAGAAGCAAATATTTTTGATTATCTCATAACAATGCTGCATGTCAAGGTCTGGGATAATTTATATTGCAAGCGAACAGCTGGATCTCATAGTCAATGTGTTTGGATGGGAAATGGGCAGACATGAAGACCTGACTTTGACGTGGGTCAAATGGATAGTAATGGCCGGACGACTGGGTCAGAGCACAAAATAGCAAGGCTAGTGAGGTACTCCCGGTCAGCGTTGGTGAGTACCTACAGACAAAGGTCTAAGGAGGGACACACCACAAACCAGCAACAGAGTGTTGGGCACCCAAAGCTCATCAATGTTTGAGGGCAATGAAGGCTATCACATCTGGTCAGAACAGACAGAAAAGCTACTGTTGCACAAATCAGAAATTTATTAGGATGGTTACGGGAGGAATGTGTCACAACACACAGTGCATAGTGTAGACGAGTCAGAGTGCCTATACTAATCCCCTGTCCACCATCGAAATGGACATGCGGGCACGTTATTGTCGGAACTGGACCTTGGAGTAATGGTAGCAGGTCATCCGGTCTGTTGAGTCCCGTTTTCTTTCTGGACAGCCAGGTACATTTGCAGCATGATGCCAGGATGCACTGTGGGAAGAGGGAGGGAGTGTGATGCTCTGGGCAATGCTTTGCTGGGAAATCCTGGATCTAGGTATTCATGTCTGTCAATTAGACATGTACCATCTACCTAAACTTTGTTGTGGACCAGGTTCACCCCTTCATGGCAATGGTATTCCACGATGGCAGTGGCCTCTTTCAGCAGGATAATGCACCATGCCACACTGCACACATTGTCCAGGAATGGTCTGAGGAACATGATGAAGTATCCAAGGTGTTGCCCTGGCCTCCAAATTCCCCAGATCTCAATCCGGTCAAACATCGGTGGGATGTGTTCAAACGAGTCCAATCCACAGTGGCACCAATCCGTAACTTACAGGACTTAAAGAACCTGAATCTGAGGCTGATGTCTTAGTACCAGATGCCACAAGGCACCTTGAGAGGTCTTGTAGAGTCCATGCCTTGGTGATTTGCAGTTGTTGTTGATGTGGTTATCATGTCAAATGCAAGTGCCTTTAAAGCCAATTTAAGCATATCTGCAAAAATCAAGAAAATGCCCTCAGACCCCATAGGGTTAAAGGCAATAGGCCCCAGCTAAGTTGGCATGGAATAAACCTCTTTTCTTTATTGTTTATGTTCATTGCTCACCTCAGCATTGTTTCATATATGGGATTGCAATAAGGAGGGACATACCACAAACTGGCGACAGAGTGTTGAGCACCCAAAACTCATCAATGTGTGAAGGCAACAAAGGCTATCCCACCTAGTCAGAACAGACAGAAGAGCTACTGTGACACAAATCACAGAAAGGATGCATTGTGGGAAGAGGGAGGAGTGGAGGTGGAGGGGGTGTGATACTGTGGGCGATGCTCTGCTGGGAAACCCTAGATCCATGCATTCATGTGGACATCAATTAGACATGTACCATCAACCTAAACTTTGTTGTGGACCAGGTTCACCCCTTCATGGCAATGGGATTCCATGATGACAGTGGCTTCTTTCAGCAGGATAATGCACTATGCCACACTGCACACATTGTTCAGATGGAATATTCAAGGTGTTGCCCTGACCTCCAAATTCCCCAGATCTCAATCCGGTCAAACATCTGTGGGTTGTGCTTGAACAAGTCCCAATCTGCAGCGAATCCAATCCATAACTTACAGGACTTAAAGAATCTGAATCTGAGGCTGACGTCTTTGTACAAGATGCCACAGGGCACCTTGAGAGGTCTTGTAGAGTCCGTGCCTTGGTGATTTGCAACTGTTTTGCCAGCACATGGAGGATCAACAGCATATTTGGGTCATAATGTTTCAGCTCATTGGTGTATTTGAAAAGCTCTTTCCAGGCTGTTTCAAATTGACCTCTCCAAATGCATTCTTTTTTAGCAACTGAGATTGGAAAAGCTTTGCAGAAACTGTCTAAAAGAAGAGTAACAGCACAACTACAGATCACAGGCAAAACATGAGCCCCAAACCTTAATGCTAACCTAAACAAATGGGTATTTAATATAGAATTGAAAAGCCCCATCAAACTCGCTTTCTTAAGATTCTCTGGAATGTTATTTCAGAGTTTGGGAGCTATGTAAGAAAATGATCTTAGACTAACTGAACTGCAAAAGTTTGCACTAAGCCTGTCTCATCTGACTGAAGTGGTCTGGATGAACTATAGCATTTTAATAGACTAGTAAGATGCGCCCATGCTATCTTTTATGTTTTTAACACAAACATCCATTATGTGTATCTGCATCACTGAATCTGGCTTAGACCTATAAATAAGTATCATCAGCATAAAAGTGAAAGGCAACATTGTGTTACAGATTATGTGGCTGTAAATAAAGGGAGAACCATAGGAGCCCTAAAACAGAGCCTTGTGGGTCACCATATTGCATGATAAAGCTTGAAAGTGAGAGGTATGACTAAATCGCAAAGCAGTACTGATGCTGACATTAATGTGATAAAATAAAATTATATAGAAAAAGGGATTTGTAACTAAATGTTAACAGCTAAAAAACATAAACTCCTCACTTACATACTTACAATTTACTTGAGTACATGTACTGAGTGAGCTGCTACTCACCTCTGATGGATAGATCAAGTATTATCTGTAGGATTTTATATAGACACATCTTTCTAAACAAACATCACCTACTTCAAATTCTATCTGATCTTCTATCTATCAATTTAGAACAGAACCCACATATAAGGTCTTTCAATACATCTATCAATCTAAAATATATAGCATGTAGGCACCTGCTTTAGATAAATGTTTAAATGCTGGATAATCTAAACTTTTAAATGCTGGATAAATTCTGTAGAATCTAATACCACTTACCCCAGAGCTAAAAACCCTGTCTCCAACACTTAAGTGTGCAAGCAGAGCTAGCTACTATATCTCAAATCACTGTGTACTTTTCACTGATTTAGGATTTAATAGCATAAATAAGCCCAACTACCACCACCACCACCACCAAGTAGCCCAACTAGAAACTTAAAGCAACGCTTCACCCAAAAATGCTAACATGGTTAACTGCAATGTTTAGCATGCATGACTCAGCACGATTGCCGCTCCTGCTTGATTTCCAAAGACCAATAAATGCAAAACGATGCTGTGGCAAAAAAGTGAAACTCATAGTTAAACAAAGTCATGCTGCAACTCTCTGATGTGAGAGTTTGTAGGACAAAGGTTTTCTGAAAGTTTTGTTTCGGGGCCACATCCTCTGCACATCCTCTGAACGTAAAACCACTTGCTCCGTGCCTAGCCTGTTATGATTGTTAAGATTTGTATCTGGTGTTGGAAACAAGAAAAAAATAAACCTGAAAGTAAACCATCAGTTCATGTCATAACTCAAAATTTGACTCATCGTTAAACCGCAGTCTTATTCATGCTTTCATTTCCTAAATTTAGCCAACAGGCTACAACAGGCTTCACATTGCACTCGCTTTACTTCCTCGTTTATCGTAAAACATGCTAAGATAACCACAATGCTTTCACCTAAAACATTGCAAGGGCTAGATTAGACAGAAAAAGGATAATAAATAGAGTAGAACACAGCTTTTACATTACCTTGTGCTGGCCATTGGTAAAATTAACCTCCATGCAACATCCAGTCAGACTCACCAAAGGGCGGCGCTTGACGTCAGTTGACAAACAACGTAACTGTATAAACGGGAAGTAGCACTGAATTACTGCAGCCGCCACGTGTTGGATCATCATTCAAGATGTTAGTTGTGAGAAGAAGCCTCTTTAAAAGCCTTAATGTAATGCAGATACAGGCCTACCATTCAAGTGGGCCTGTCTAGCCAGGACAGGTACACTTAAAAATAGTAGTACAGTAACATAAAATCTCTTTTCATAACTGAAGGACTAAACTGTACATAGATTTCTAATTTTTTTGTGAATATAGGTAATTATGTGTGGAATTACAGCTATTATATGGTAATTATCCTGTAATTATGTTGTAATTATACTGTAAGTACATTGTAAAACTAATAGTATTAAGCTGTAACTGTGGACCAATTTAATTTCCTGTTAATAAATAGTATTTCAGCCAAGCAATCATGTCTGGGAAACTGTTCACTGTATGTGATGATTCAAGAAAATGTAATTCATTCAAAATTATTTACTCTATGCTGCCGTTAAGCTGTACATTCCTTCTGAAAAGCATTTCATGATGCAGCGAATCTCAGTCATACACTCAAAATTTTTATATTACAATTGTTCTTTGTTCTACATATAGCAAAACACTTTATGTAGTGTTTGGTCAATTTACGATTTATTATAGCATTAGGGTTCTAAAATGTCAGAATATCATTATTATTGCTTTACATTAGTTTGGCTGATTGGAAAAAATGCACAATGCTCTCAAATGTTTTTCAAGTCACACTTTAATTTCACAGTTAATTCTGAGGATTGTCATATTGTATAACATTACACAAATAATCTCATTAGTTTATCATGATTAAAGAGATACAAATTAAATACATCATATACCAAATAAGAGGGCTGTTTAAATAAAATGAGCAAAGTTGGTAAATATGACATGTTAAATTGCTTTGCGTTATGACCGGATTTAAGCTTTAGAAAGCCGTGAACGTATGTTATAATGGATATTGGTTGGAGGTAAACTTAAGAAACGCTAGTAATGACGTCAAAATTCAACGACTTAAAAGAGAAAAGCCTAACCTGTACTTCCTTTGGAATAGTACAGGAATCTGACTTGGATATTTACAACTTCCAATGTCACATCTATTTCAAGGATACAGTACAATTTCACTTAAATTTGCATTAACGATTATGCATATAACTGAATATGTGTCTATGGCATATATATTTCTGCTAAAAACACCACCCAGTACAAAAGCTGCAATAGTAAAAGGACAGTAACAAGCGCTTCCACCCTGCCATTTAAAGGGAAATGTATACAAAGTCTCCAAAAGGTGTACAAACAAGCAAAAGCTGAGAACAACAATCATAGAAAAACCCATAGTGTTAAGGATTAGGATATTGTATTGAAATGTTTCAAATACAAGCTTAAGGTTACAAAGGTACCTCTGGAAAGTCTGTAAAGCATTGCCTGGCTTTCAGGGCAATGATCAGTCTCAGTTTCTGTTTTTGTAAACAAATAAACAACAAACAAATCATAGTTTTCCTCTATGAAGAAGCACCAAGCCACAACATGTCAGCTAGTATCCCCGGTGTAGAGGTTTGTTCCATACATTGCCTTCCAATGGTCTGTTTAACTCCCAACAACTACTGACAGAATGTAACACACTATAATGTATGTACAGTGCAACAGTGTACATATGAACTGAATGGTCCCCTAAATTTGTATTAAAACTCATATCACTGTCAATAAAATGTCTGTGTTGACCAGATTTCCCCCACAGGTCAGGGTTTGAGCTGTTCCTGGTCAGAACAGTCCTGTATTAGAGCATCCAGGCCTATCTGTGGGGTTTCTAGGGGCTTTCTGGAGCAGGCTCTCAGGGATTTGGTCTGTAACACGCCAGAGTAAAGTGCAGTAGATAGCGGACTGTTGGGCCCAGACTCAGCCAGGCTTCTCCCTGTGTTCTGTGATGGCTTTCCAAAGCTTACAGAGGATTCCACCCCTACAGGAGACAGCACAGGAAAGAATCAATCCTAGTCCATTTGGGAATAAAACAGTTGCTTTATTACTACAATACAAATCAAAAGCATCTCAACCTCAACCTTAGAGTTTTCCCTCTTCTAATGAACCTGATTCAATCAGGGTTAATACCTCAAGTACTTTTCAAGACCTCAACATAGCAAATATACCCCAACATGCCCTCCAAGCGGATCCGAGCCCTGTAATATGCTTTAATATCAGCTGATACCAAGTCTAATCCAATCTTTGTGTTTTCATAGATAATATAGCTGCACAATTTAGTAAGTACCGCTGCTATGCACCGATCAGGTACAACATTAAAACCACCTCCTTGTATCTACACTAACTGTCCATTTTATCAGCTCCACTAGCATAAAGATAAACTGTGTTGTTCTACAGTTACAGACTGTAGTCCATCTGTTTCTCTGCTTTGTTAGCCTCCTTTTACCCTGTTCTTTAGTGGTCAGGACCCCCACAGGACCGCCACAGAGCAGGTATTATTTTGGGTGGTGGGTCATTCTCAGCACTGCAGTGACACTGACGTGGTGGTGTGTTAGTGTGTGTTGCGCTGGTCTGAGTGGATCAGACACAGCAGTGCTGCTGGAGCTTTTAAACACTGTGTGCACTCATTGTCCACTCTATTAGACACTGCTACCTGTTGGTCCACCTTGTAGATGTAAAGTCAGAGAGTAGCTCATCTGTTGCTGCACAGTTTGTGTTGGTCATCCTCTAGTCCTTCATCAGTGGTTACAGGATGCTGCCCACAGGACGCTGTTGGCTGGATATTTTTGGTTGGTGGACTATTCTCAGTCCAGCAGTGACACTGAGGTGTTTAAAAACTCCAGCAGCCCTGCTTTGTCTGATCTCAGACCACTCAGACCAGCGCAACACACACTAACACGCCACCAGTGATCCACCACCCAAGTAATAGCGGCTCTGTGGTGGTCCTGTGGGGGTCCTGACTACTAAAGAACAGAGTAAAACGGGCTAACAAAGTATGCAGAGAAACAGATGGACTACAGTCTGTAATTGTAGAACTACAAAGTGCTCCAATGTGGTAGGTGGAACTGATAAAATGGACAATGAGTGGAGAAACAAGGAGGTGGTTTTAAGCTTATGGCTGAACGATGTATAAGCACATTCTTTACACCCAATACTGTAACTGAGAGCATATTGTTGCTATTATAATTATAGCTTTTTTTGTTGAGCGACACTTGTTAGGTGGACTATAAATTGGCCTTAAGTCTACTGTAATTAGCCATTATGACGTCAAATATTATGCCATCTGTCATGAGAATTAACGGTAATAGTAATGTTACGTTATTATGTTACTGGACATAATCTGTCATGACAGCATATGACATTCACCATGGAATGTATATGGCGTTAAGTCAATGTAACAAAGCAGGGTTTCTTGTTTTTTTTTTACATTTTATTTGCTATTTACTAATAAAACATATTGTATTGTTCAGTATTGTTGTATTGTGTCTAGCATGTTAGTCTGTGGCTTACACATTAGTCTGTCAGGCTGAAGTTAGATTGGGACACTATAAAACACTTTTGTTTCAAATATTGTAATTGAATGATGCTAAATGCTCTAATAAACTGAAAATGGCAACATATTTAGCCACTCTTTATTTTTCCTGTATCAAAAAACATATATGGAAAGACTGTATCGTAAAGAATCGATTTCTAAATTTTGTGACTTGTTACATCCCTACTATTCAAACAATGTAAAGGGTGACTGGTGTTTTCAAATGGTGCAAATCTCCCAGAATCCTCATATAAAGAACTCACTTTAGTCTCAGACTCTTCAGATCATCCCTGGTGACGTAATGAAGGATGTCATCCAGAGTGTATTCCTCCGCTATGATCTACAGAAAAAGAAACTTTCAACTCAGTATCAAAAACACTTGGTGCTCATTTTATATATGATATAGAACAAAAGACGATACCCTGTCTATAGAGTCAGCATCCGCTCCATGTAACCTGAGCCATTTGAGCAGCTCGGGATCGCCCTCTCCTCCTAATGAACTCTGTGTACTCACTGAGGGAGTAGCCACATCTACAATACATAAACAAACAAAAACAAAAACAATTGAATACAGCATTACTTTTAGGGCTGCACAATATGGACAAAACTCTAGTATTAGTATTGGTACTGGTGAATGAGTAATATGACATGATTAAAGATTGGCCTATGTTATTTGATAAGTATTTACACTTATTTTGATAGATTACTTGAATATCTTGATTAATCAAAAATAAACACAGAATGTGAGATCAGACAGGATGTTCACAACATTCTGTAAAAAAAAAAACAGGCCACTAGCTTCTGAGCTTTTTGGTCAGCTAAGAACTGAACAAGGGACCTTGAATCTCCTAGATCAGGGCCGCAACGGTGGTTTTTCACCACAATAGGGTAGTTTGACTGGGCTACAAGCTGAGAGATTCCTTGCCATGGTAGCGGAGTTCAAATGGGCCCTGCTCCAGGAGATGCTTCACTAAAGTAGTGGAGTCTGACTGAGCTTTGAGCCAAGAGATTCTCCAACACAGTCACATATTTTCAATGGGCCCTGCACCAGAAGATTCTTCACTGAAGAAGCTGAGTTTAACTGGGCTACAAGCTGGGATGTTCTTTATTACAATAGCAGAGTCTTAATGGGCCTTGCGCCAGGAGTTTCTTCACCATGGTAGCAGAGTTTATCTGTGCTTTGATCTGGGAGCTTCTTCACCGCGGTTGCAGAGTTTGACCTTGCCGTGAGAATATAAACTGAAGTCGTGGGTCTCACACCGGGAGATTCTTGGCCTCATTATCAGAGCTTGATTGGGCCATTGGCCTGGACCCTTTTCACCGCGGTAGCTGAGTGTGACTGGGCCATGAGCCAAGACATTCTTCACCACAGTAGAAGAGTCGCACTGTGCCATGAGCCGGGGTATTATACAGTGCAGTCGGGAGAGTTTTTCTCCCTGCATCATTGAGTTTGAGACAGATGCTATGAATTAAACTTATTATTAATATTATTATTATTATTTTGTGATTGTTGAATGGGCTTCATTGCATTTGCAGCTTTCTATCAGTACTGCAAAGGCCAATATGGTGAAACAGATTAAAAAACAACAAATTGCGCAACCCTTTTTACTACTAAAAGACTAGTGTTTGTGTGTATATGTATGTTGCATATAGACTAACCAATGGGCTCAGAGCGCATCTTCAGTAGATTAATCTCCTGCTCTCTCTCTTCCAGAACATGCTGCAGGATACACTGGTACTCCCTCTCCTTCTCTAGCAGCTCCTCTAGCAACCTAAGACAAACACACACATTCTGTCAAAAGCTTGCAGACAGCTTACAACCCCAAAAATTTCCAAGTAACATGTAATTTTCACTGACAATTTTTAATTCAGTTAGAAAAATACCTGCATACAACATATAAAGACTATCCTTACAGAAGGTTTAAATAGATAAAAATTAGTTTATTAATATTATTAGGTCATAAACACATTATAAGCACATCAATAAGCAGTTATAATGTACAAATAAAAAGAGCAACATGACCTGTAAAATCTGATGAATATGAATATCTGATGAAGCAGACATCAATGCTGACTGATGGAGAAGACAAAGTAAGATAAGTAACCAGCAAGATCTGAGGTTTAAAAATTATAGATAAATAAGTGGCTCACTATTTGGCAAGCAGCAGATCACCGTTGCCCTTTTTATTTTTGTGTTATAACTGCTTATTAATGATTTTAATGAAGTGTTTATGACCTAATTAAAAACCATCTTCATTAGAGTTTCATTAATACTTTGGGTATATTTTGCTTCAATAGTTGCTTCTTTGGTATAAAGAAAGGATTTTGCCTAAATAATGATTTGGAAACAATTTATTTTGATAAATGCTTTGAAGAAGGTCACTTGCTTTGAAGAAGCGTCTTTAATGAACATTTAACTAAATATCCATTTAATGCAACTCGATGTTTAGCTGAATGCAATAGATTGTATGAAATGAAACTCTAAAGCTAATTCCTAAAACTACGCCTAATGTTGTCATTTGTGCTTCAATAGATTTTCAGTTTCCTAATCATTCGAGCATCTCTAGATAATCAATAGGGGATGTTCAAAATAAACCGTGACCAATAATTTCACAGCTTTTGTTTACAAACTGTTGCTGAAAGCACAAACTGCAACTCTTTTGTCCCAAAAATGGTTTAAACACCTGAAGGATTGAGTGATGATGAGAGCTCACAAATTGTCAGTTGTTCCTTCAGTTTTTGCGGTTTACGCAAGAAAAATCAGGTTGCTTTTAAACTGACACAGCCTCATTCAACATTCTGAATAAAATACAATGTAAATATGAAAAAAAAAAAAATCTAACACTGGGTAAACCCCTTAAACCTGAAGCCCAATCTTCATTTTTTGATCTTTAGGCTTATTATTCAATAATTACTTGTAATTATTTGGTAATTACTATGTAACTACTATGTACGTTACGGTATTATCAGAGTAACTGAAGGAATGCAACCGTATGCCCACATATAGGCCCCCAGAGCCCTTTAATAACATAAGGAATATGACACCAGCCCACCTGCTGGTCTCAAGCTTCATGCGGCCAAGCTCCATGTTAACAGAGTGCTGTGCTGTGCGAGATTCGTGAGAAACGGTGGAACTGAGCGTGCTCACTCCCGATGTAGCTACCGTGTCATCATGGTTCACAATGGGTGGGGCTCTGCTTTTGTGGACAGGGCTTCCATGAGGTACAGTGTCGTCATCATCATCTTCCTGATCGGCTGGGTCACTTTCAGACGCCAAGCTGAAGTGTGGCCTGAGCTCTGAATGGAAAAAACAGAAAAACACAAAAAATCAATAAAAAGAAGAATCAGGCATTGCTAACCACTTATTTTTGCAGAGTCATCCACTCAAAGGACTCACACAGGACAAAGGTGAAATTCAACATAAACAAAAGTAAACACACCAACAACAAAGCACAATGATAAGAACCACAGTCAATATTAAACATGCATCATATTAAAGTGATAGTTTAGGAAAATCAATTTGACATAATTTGATTTAACAAAAACAACAGCAAACTGGTAAGAGTTTTGGCAACACGTTCTGAGTGCTGCTATACATATTAAAGTGAAGAAAATGTTACCTGGCACCAGGATAGTGATGGCGGTCTGTACAGCCTTACGGATTATGTTATCCAGTGCAAACATCCAGTGAGGTTTGATATTGTGATTCCGCAGCACTTTGTTCAGCTGGAGACACAGAGTTCACATGTTACTTAAATATCATACACATACACACACACACACACAAGAGTATCTCTGTGGTGTTACCTTAGATCAGCTATGGACACTTTAACATAAGGCAGTGTTCATTAGGCTACATAACAGCTACATACTGTAAACTTGTCATGACAATTGACTTAAACCTACACAAACATTTATTAGTGTGAAGTCAAGTTGACATAACACATGTCAGGTTATTGTTTTTTTTCTGACATTGGGTTTTCATGACAGTTTTTTGGGGTGAAATGATATAGCACGTTATAACAACTTTGTAACTTTGTGTATAACAGTGACGTAATGCTGATGACTTGAACCTTATAAATGGTAAAATTAAACTCGGGGGCCACAGAAAGTGTGGTTCAACCAGCCTGACTTGGCTTATGACTTATGTCTTATTATTAAGCATTGTGTCACTGTGACATACACTAAGCTACTAAAGCTCTATTTTCTTTAGTTTTTACATGAGGAGGTGGGGTGATGTAATTATTAACAGCGTTTTTCAGGGATTTTAGTCCCATCCAAATGCACCATGTCAGTCATTTTTACAGACTGCGCGCTCCCATGTCAGTAAAGATCCCGGCGCCTTTTACCTTCCATAAAATGAGCAGCTGAAATAACCTCAGGTTATATGAATCCCATGCAAATCAGCATGTCAGTAAAAATGCTGTCATATCCTATGGAAAAGGAGTTTCTTAAGAATGGAGGCTCAAAGAAGTGTTTACTTGAGTTCTCTGATGAAGCTGAAATTGGTTTCTTATTTTTCCTTTTTATTCATCAGTTTCTTATTCGATTTTTCCCATTCCACCTAAAATGGTGCGGCAGATTTTATTAACATGTCTATACACTAGAGGCTGACACAGCGTCAGAAACACAGCCCCCCAGTGTATTTCTGTTAGGATGCTGTGTTAGCTCTGTCGGACTAGAAACGCGCCTATATGCAGCGACTCATCCAGCGTTTAAAGTTTAAGTTTAAACCATTTTAACTTTTGCTGCAAGATTCCGACGTAGAGACACATCAACCAATAGAAACATGCAAGCAGAAGATGGATGAAAATCCAAGATGGAGGACTGTAGTGATGCTATGTACTCTTCCTGTTCTATATGACCTTTTGCCTTCGTGGCTGTTGTCTGCTTGGCTCTGTATAAGGCCATCACCAAAATTTTCTTTCGATGGTCCATATTTCTTTGTTTCTGATCCAAATGTTTTGTTTCCCGCTGGATTTCTAATTGTACAAACTTGGCCACGCTCCAGCCATGTACACGCCTTTTAGAAGGACAAGATCTGCATGTGTATGTGTCCACCGCACTGTCCTTGCAGTGTACAGTGTGTAGGCAGCCTGAGGTGCCAGAATGTAACCGTTACACCATTTAAGTTGGAAGGGGAAAATTCAAAGAAGAAGCTGGCGAATAGGAAGCCAACTTCGGCCTCATTGTTCTCTCTGGCTGTAATCAAGCATTACTGTCTTGTCTCACATGTACAACACAGAACATGTAAAAATTACAGAAAAAAGTGCTTTTATGCGGTGAAGCTGACTGTTGTGAATTCCCAAGCTAATGGCGATGCTAATGATGCACCGTCTTCACTTTAGACAGCAAGGTAAAAGGTTAGGGTAAACAAAATTAATGGCTAAATTAAATGTTTGAACATCTTTTCTACTCGTTTCTGGGGTAAAGGTGGCACGTAAATTCAGTAGCCGCTTCCATCTCCATCGCTTGTACTGAGATTTTAATGTTTAAGTAGGCCTATGTCAATTGTCATGAAAGAGTTTTGCAGATGCCATGTAGGCTTATAAACACAGGGTTCAAGAGTTCATAGGGAACATGGTGCAGACGTGTCTCACGGACACTAGGTGGCAGCAACGTACAGGCCGTGTTTATAAGAAAAGTTACGTAATCTTTCTGAAAGGAGGTCTTTATCTCTGTTTATCTGAGGGGCATATCTTTCCCTCTCGCTTGGCCTTTGTCTTGTGACATTAATCTCCTCACAGAGGCGCAAACCATTCATTATCAGGACATTCCACTACATTTTCATAATGCCCTTGAAGCAAGCAGACAGATAAGATATAATAAAGTGGCTACATATGCCAAAGGCTCTGTGCGTATCACTTTTAACTGGGCTATGGACACATCAACTAGACCATCTGGAGGAAGCATTAATGAATCACATATGAGTAAGATATAGTTGTAAGTTACAGGCAAAAGTTTTAACACCACCAGTGAAATTACACATTATTTTGATTTTCTAAGTGAAAATATGTTAAAATATTCCAATTTTAGGGCAAAATTTCTATTTATTTACAGAGTTTAACACACTGGAAAAAAGGAAAAAGAGCCATAACTTTTGCAAAGACTGCATGTTTTATGTGTTTTATGTTTTCCAGTTTGTTAAATTCAGCAAATAAGCGGTAATTATGCATTGAAATGTGCAGAAGTGTGTTCTTAGTAGAGGGTGTTTAAACTTATTAACACTTAGAAAATCAACAAAACGGGTCATTTGACCAAGGGTCCCAAAACTTTTGTGTACGACTGTACTTAATCATTTATAACAGGGCATGGATAATGACTATGTAGATATTGATAATGATTAGGAGTTATTTTTATGCAACCTGGAAAATGTTTAATATTTCAAGTCACGTAATTTATGAGTTATAAGTATCAAATAACAATCATTATTAACACACTATAATTCATGATTAGCTTTCTACAATTTTGGAGGGATCTTGGTTGAATAAGATTCTTTCAGTCAACTAAATGCATTTCTCGTAACACTTCATAACTGCAGGTTAATGTAAATTGCAAGTTCATTGTGATCTAATGGTTAAAACAGAGCTACAATTTTAATAATTAGCCATTTACTTAATAACATACAAATAATGAAAGCACTGTAAATGCTTTTCGTAAATGCTTTGTAAGTAAGTGTGTTAGGTAACACAAGATTTTTATCTTTTTTTACTGCAGAACTGAGTGTCAGCCATTAAGCCCTAAATCCCTCCTTGTCCCACATTTGATTCAAGTGCTGATTCCAGTGGAGCAGCGACAGACGGAGGCCAAAAAAACACTCACCGCGTCCTGAAAGCCGAACAGCGTCACCTGCAGCTGACTGATAGCAGTGCTGTCGAAGTCCAGCTCCAGTTTGAGCTGGGAAAGCGTGTTGGCGATGATCTTTCTGTCCGCCATGCGCACAAACTCACCCAGGCTGGCCACCAGAGTGGAAATGTGCTCATGCTTTAGCTTAGTCTCCTCAGAGCCCTAAACAGAGACAGAGAGAGACACAGAGAGAGAAAGAGAGGAAGACAGAGAGGACGGAAAAAGAGAGGGAGGATTATTAACCTACTGAAAATGCATTTATAGCTGTACCTTATGTTTGCTTGCTACCTGTGTGTGTGTGTGTGTGTGCATGCATATTATGGTTGTACAGATTCACAGTGATGCCCCAATTTGAAAGTGACATTAATTTTGGACTGTCAGAATTTATTATAATCAATTAAAAGATAAAATCGTTTAGTGTATTTACAAATGTGCAAAAAGCTTCACTATAAAAACTTACTCTGCAAATTTACAGTAACTTGCTAGCAGCAGAGTTTAAGGTAGTTACTATGAATAATATTTACAGCATACTGTAATATTTGTTTATCACATTGACAATGTACTGTATTTTTACAAGACTACACATTGACGTTATATTACTGTAATTAATAATATCCTTTTATTGCAGTTTTTCAGAACTGCTATTCTTTCAGAAAGCTAACAGGCACTAATAATACTCACAGTTAGAAGTTTATACCAAATAAAATGTTACGTGCATGTCTCATGTTTATGTTACATTTCAAGCTCCAAAAGTCAGTGTTTAAGATGTATAGTCTTAAATGCTAGCATCACGCTAACATGACACTGCAAATCCCATAGAGACTGAATCCCGAAGCATCATAGCAGTGGCAGATACTTACTTCCAAATTGAAAGTTTCTACATTAAAATCTGCTACATAATGACAAACAATACAATGTTCAATGTTGTCTAACATTAGCCGAGTTAGCTATAACTTCTCTGGTTCAGAGGTATTAATGTAGCTTAGTGAAGACGACGATGCATCAGACAATTACTTTCAGCGCCTACTTTTACAGTAAAGCTGATGATACTGTTACAATATTGTTACAATAATATTACAGTAGAACTCAACACAGGACGCTGTATAAAACGGTAAAACACATTTTAAGCATCACGCTGGCTTGAACACAGGACATTATTGTAGAAATAACAGAAATTCTTTGTAGTGTGCAATGTTTTTTTGTCTGCATGGAACTACAGTTTATTGTCTAATATATTTCTGATGTGACGTTTCCTAAAGAATCATTATAAAATCATTATGAGGTCAGAGATTTACACCCATAGTAAGTAGTACTGGCCTGTGTGAGTGCCTCCTGCAGGTTGCTGACTATCTTGTCTTTGTCCTCAGTGAGGATGCGGTGCAGAGTGGCTCTCCGCTCACTGTCCTTCCTCAGCATGAAGAACCCAGCGTCCTTCTCCTCTGGAGACGGGGGGGCACTGTGGTCCTCAAACTGCTCCACTGGGATACTGCAGGAAACAGTGAAACATGCTCACTCTCAAATTTTTATTTGAACATAGCATTTTTATGAGCCTACACTGTCAACAATGTTTATTTCATATCGATAAAGATTTTTTAAAAAGTGCAAAGTAAATCTTCTCCATCATGGCAGTCCTAAAGCATGAAAGCATCAACTATCAGTTATAACAAACTAGGCTGACCCAGCAACTGTTTCCTGGCTAATTATGGATAAGCTCATTGTGGATGGGCGTCAGGGGGTTCGTGGCTGGGGGTTCCTCAATTTGCTAACTCTACTGAAAAACTGATTTAAACCCATTAAATGGCCAGATTTTTATTACACACTTGTATAACCTAAGAATAGCTCAACCCCTTTACATTGAAGTTTGTGTAGTTACTGAATAATAAGCCTAAGTATATAATAAGCCTGGGATTTTAAGGGGTCAACCCAAAAATTTTTCGCTTTTTATTTTATTTTTATCCAACTTATTTTTTTTCCCAGCCAATGGTGTCTTGAGGGTTTAAATACAATCTGAATCTTCTATAAAGCCTTTTTTAGATTCTAATCTAGTCTTTCTGTTTTCTTTGTGCTTATCAGTGGTTTACATCTTGTGGTAAACCCTCTGTATTCACTCTGGTTTTAACTTCTTGTTAACTTTGACATAGATACGCCTACCTACTGGGGCTTTTTTTGATCTGGTCAACGGTTGTAAGCAAATCAAGCCTTAACTCTCACTCAAAGCCCTGAGAACTTAACTGGTTATCCAATCAATTTATTGGAAAAGACCATTATGCTTGAAACAGTTAAAGACAATAATAGAGGAAGAGGACGACCAACTAAAAGATGGATGGATACAATTAGAGGAATCATGAACCAGCCTTTTAAGTTTGAAGAACCGAACAGAAGACAGGACGTTCTGAAGAAAACTCTCCATATGGTAGCCAGGAATTGGAAACAACTTGACAGCACTAATAATAATAATAATAATAATAATAATGATAGTCAGTCTTATGGCAAGTGTCACAAGATGGTTAAAATATGACTGTTTTTAAAAAGCGCTACCTTTTTTTCCCATCAGAGCATTTGACTTATCAACAGTTCAACTTTTTTCCAGTGTGTCGCATGAGGCATGTTTTTTTTTTCCTCATATAAACACATGACACACTCCAGGCAGTTTACTATGCAAAGCCATCTGAATGCAGCAGGTCTTTGATTATGTACTGCAATGTTTTAAGAATTGCAGCACATTATATTTTATGGTAAAAAGCTGCTGAGGGGTCACATGTAAGTCCTCTGTAATAATATCAAAATAAAAAAAAACAAAAACTAAAGTCTAGAACCGTGCAGTTTCCACTCCACTCATGCATTCTCTCTCTCTCTCTGGTTACCTGAGGAAAAGGGAGCGATGGCCTTTGACCTCTCTCTCGCTGTAGCACTTGGTGCTGGGCTTGAAGAGGAAGGGGTTGGAGTTCAGCTCGTTGTCGGGGGAGACGGAGCCGTATTCGCTGCTGCTGCTCGTGTCCTCCACCACCACGGGCACAGGAAGAGAGATGCTGCGAAGGTATTCTGGCACACAGAAGCAAAGCAAGACTATAATCCGCTGTACAGTAGTCCTACACTGAATTTGTGACTCCTATACACTTTACACTGCAGATCATTATAACAGTATAGTTATAGCAACAGTAATGCGTTCTTTACAGGCCCTTAAGATCTAGGTATTAAGCTACTGAATACTTCTGTTAAATATACATTCACTGCAAAGCAATGTCATTCTGTTGTATGTTGTAATTTTACACTACACTATTTGATACCAGACTTTAGCATCTGCTGTGATGTGCAATGAGAGATGAACAGACTCACCTGTTCCTGGAGACAAAGCTAGAAAAAAAAAAGAGAAAATATTTTCAAATTGTAACATAACAGTATAAAGTATCTAAGACTGTTAAAACAGATCTCTTCACTCTTAAGAAAACACCAGCTTTACACTGCGTGAATAATTCATGATGACTGCCATTTACATGAACAGATGTCCGAACTCTGGTTTATAACATTGTCATAAACATGCCATAAACCTGTCATAGCAGATGTCTTATGCTGACATGAATTGTCATGGTATTTTTTTCAGCAGAAGGGAACCCTGAGGGCCTTCTAGGCCTTCAGAGAAGGCCTAATGATTTCTGGGAACTAAAAATGTATGTCTGTAATTTTTAGTTAATTTTTTATTCAGTAGAATCATGCCTGCAAGTCTTGTTGCACTGTAAAGTTTTGGATGGAAACAAAAGGGTTAAATTCTTGAAATGCTTAGTGAAAAATGGGCCAAGCAGAAACCGTTTTTCGTTGTAGTATCTACATAGATGTTGCTAAACAAGCTCTCCTACTGGTTAGGACTTCAAGAGCAGACGTTCCAACAATTTGATTAAACATCAGCATGATAAAGTGACAGACGAACCAACCGATACTCTTTTGATTTCCAATGGGTGAAATCAATTTAGTGAGAAAACAAGCTTTAAACAAAACATGGAATGTCTTTTAGAAGCTTCAAATGTCTGTGTTTAATCTAGAACTGCCTTTTTTGAATTTCCATCCCACCTTAAACGATGCTGCAGGTACATTTGAGTGTAAACAAATTTTCCGTTCCACCTTAAACGGTGCAGCAGTCACAGTGCAGAGCCCTAATGCACCAGAATGTAACTGCTGTACTGTATAAGGTGGAACAGACAACTCAAATAAGGAGATCATTTCAGCCTCGACAGAAAGTGTGCATGGAAATCGTCATTGGCTCAGCGCTAACAAACTACAATCGTAGCAGAAGTTAGTATTATCTCTAAGGTGGGTTTTTTCCTCATGTTTTGACCAAGTTTTGACATCTACAGCCCAAACTGAAGGCCTAGCTCTAATACTCACAGTTCGCCACTCTGTTCAGTAATGTAACAATGTCATGCTACCGTTATTATATTGTAAATGTCAACTGTCAATGTCAATAATAAAATGGGACAAAACCACGTATCTCTATTTTTGACAATTTATTTTTTAACATAATTTAAAAATGCCAGCCGATTTTAACATAGTCTTAAACTTTTATCATGATTGGAGTAAAAGAAATGGTCTAAAATTACTTTGGGGACAAAATGTGGTTCCGTTAACGTCCATTCAAAGTTAAGAAAGTATCTTCCACTTTACTTTTCACACTTTAATTTTTGCTACTCGTCGTCATGAAATAGTACACTAAATGTTATGACAATTAACGTTAATGGTAACATTACATTGTTATACCACGATAGATAATCTGTTATGACAACTCATGACAGCTTATGGCTTCTGGTATAACGTTTATGACATGGTTATGTCGATATTATGTAGCAAGTCTCAAGTGAAGTGTTAACTGTTAATTACTTTTCCTTTAATGTTGTCTCAGACATGAGGGCAGCCACATCATTCTGTTTTATTATAAAACTGAAGCGTAAAACTTTATGACTGTTATTTTCTTGAGGTTTGATGATGAACTCAGGAGAATTCGCCTGTTTACATACACACCACGCCCAAAACACACCTGTAAAGTTGTTGCCTTTGGCTTTTTTCTTGCGGGAGGTCACGGTGAGGAATTCATGGGTGAGCAGCTCATTGGCCGTAGCGCGGAGGTCCGGGTCCGGCTCAAAACAGCGCAGAATAAAGGCCTTCGCCTCAGCTGACATGGAGTCCGGAATCTCTGGGTGGATCTTGAACATCCCCACCTAAATGTATATATATGACAAATGTATAAGAGCTATTCACAAACACACACACAAATACACACACACACACACACACACACACACACACACACACACACACACACACACACGCACACACACACAGACATCTTCTAAGCCACTTATCCTTCTGGGTTGTGGGGGGAGCTGGAGCCTATCCCAGCAGTCATTGGGTGGAAGGCAGGATACACCCTGGAAAGGTCACCCGTCCATTGCAGGGCATGTCCACCATACGCTTTTATTAAAGCTTCTATTCTTTTCACGAGACTTGCTTTCAGTTTTCAAAGATATCAGGTACATTTTCCACAATTCTGAAGTTCAGTCATAAAAGTATTTTCTGCTTCTCACAGTCCAAGCACTCCCAAACACATTAAACCAGGCTCTGCAGTGGTCAGTCCATTGTTCTTAGAACACCAGCAGCTTCTTTGTTTGATTTTCTTCTGGAGCTTGATTTCCTCCTCTCTCGCTGTTTATCTGATGGTGACAGTTTTGGTGGTCCACCAAGTCTTGCTCAGTTCTTTTTTCTCTATTTTTAAATAATTTCAGCTCTGACCTTCTGCAAATCAGTAATACATTCAGCATGTTTGAATTACTGCCATGCCTAAAGTTACATTCGCACTGCCAGCAGGGGATTACGGGATTTGGAGTTCATGATGTAAAAGTCTGAGCTGTGGCAGCTGAGAAAATAACTCATAACCTCAGCAGTCCTGCAATGTCTTACACAGCTAAGGAATGAGATGCTTAGTCTGGGAATGAGGGAAGTTCCTGTAACTGGAGTTCAGCAGGAGGCTGGTAGTAAAGCCAGCAGAGCGCAAGCTTTCCGAGTTCAAGGAAACATGTCACGAGAGTGCGTATTTGGATTCTCAGCATTCCTATCTGTATGAATTACATGGAAAGAGTAGATCGGAATCTCAAAAGTTTCCATGTTCACAGAAACTCTGTGGGTTGGGTTTGGATTCTGACAATGACTCGAAAGGTCATTGTCAGGTTTTCTTTTGAATGAGTACCAAATCTGTAAATTCTCATCTTTTAACTTGTTTGTTTGCTTGACTTCATACATACAAAAAAGATAACTTCAATTTTTATTCTTTAAGTAACGTCCAAGGAATTCCCTTCATTTCTTTCTTAACTTTTCTCTTACGAACAGCTCCAAGAACAAGAAAAAATGTTCTTAAATATATTCTGAACCTGACTGCAGCCTCACACTGTCTTAAACTGTAAGAGCTGACCAAAAAAGCCCTTAAAACGTCCAAAGAGTGTCAGAAAATATACTTATATATATACTATATAACTGTAAAACAGACTAAAAGAGGACATTTCCTATAGACTATTTCCTCCAACATCACTTGCAGTTCTAGTTTTCTTTTTTGTTTGTTTTTCCTCCACTTTGCTGTCTTGAGATGATGAGTGGATTAAATTGACTAACCGGTTAACATAAATAACAGTCACATTCAAAATATATCACACACAGTGTTTATGGTAAACTAAATTTGTAACATGACATTGATTGGCTACATGATGAAAACCTATAGCTTACCTAAGAAAACAAATAAGACTTTCTTAAAAAAAAATACAGAGATCTTCTTGAGGTTTTTCTGAGAATTACATTTAGGTACATTTTTAAGAACTTAGTATTTGACTTAAATGTCATTCAGAGTGGTCTGATGTGAAATGGGTTATTGCAGAGAAATTTAAAAACGTCTTTACAGTGGTGGTGATGGGAACCAGGGGTCACAATGTATACAGCACAAATAGCTACTGCATTTGCTATAACAACTGGTGAACCTACATGTATCTTCTGAGTTATTATGTATAATGTTGATATTGGTAAAATAGTGGTAAAGAGAGAAGCTTTCTTTGGGCAATATTTTAGCTTACAATGCCCCACATATACTTCTCCATCATTTATGGATTAAAAAAAAACTGATTTTAGGCTCAATCATGTCTCATCCAGTAGTATAACATAACCATTTCATGTAATAACTTTCTTCATGCAAAATTTTGCTTTCATTCTATAAACCACTTTAGTCGTCTGCTTCCGATCAGAACCGCTGTGAATAATACTGACTCTGCAAGTTTCTCAAGGGTGGAGCATTTCACATGAAACCACTCTGAATGACTGTTTACATCTTCATGATTTAATTATGCAGACATTTTGAAAGATCTGTAGAATTCCCCTTTAAGATCAATCATGTTGTTTTTTTAGAAAAGCTTTCTAGAAAATTACGCTACAGATAGAAAATCTGAAGTTCGTAAATGTGCTAGACGCTCTTCCCCAGGCTCCAATGACAGCCACAAGAGATGTCAGAAAGGCAGGGCTTGAACCCTAAGCGCAGACGACAGCCTGCAAGCACTGCGGGGGGAGGACAGTGCCTGAGTCCTGAGCTCTGTCTCTTGGCCACCTCCTCCAGTCCCACAGCGAGGCTTCTCCGGGATTGAACATGAGTCAGAGTCTAGCAGCCACACAGCGGAACAGGAGGTGGGGGCCAGGAGGCAGGGTTTGGGATTCAGGCCCCATCCTCATGCCTCTTGTGGCTGACATCCTTCTCCTGCTGTCACTCGTGGCCACCATCGGAGCCTGGGCAATGGGCGCTTGGCACAGTAAATAATACAAAGCTGCCGAATGTAAGGGACTGTTACAATCAAATAGTGTGAAGGCTTTTCCCATATAGCACGTTAGAGTAAGGATAAGAATTTGGTTCAGCTGGATCAATAAACAAGAAAGGTGGCACTGTTCTCTGAAAGCTCCTCATTTGTATTATATGATGTAAAATGGAACAAGCCCACTTTTCATGCCATCATAAGGGAGTTGGCACCAATCTAAATTGTGACAGAAAAAATACTGTTGATTGAATGATAACATGGGAGGCCAAACACTTACGTGAATAGTATAATGTGGCATGTAAAATATTAGTTTGTTTGTAATGAAATGCTGCCCAGCAAGCTAACAACTGTTCAGTTCTCTGATAGAAGATGCATAGAGGTCTGCACAGGGCCCATTTTTGTGGTTCCTCTGGTCTACTCCTACAAGATTTCATTTCGCTCCCGCAGAAAGTCTGCACACCCGTAACCCAAACGTTTAGTCCTGCTCCCACCCGCAGACCTGTATAACTGGTTTCCATCTGTATTGGTTACAACTGAAAATAACTGCATTAGGTCAGACTCGCCTTCAGTTGCTGTCTAACTGTCAAAAAGCTCAGCCGTTTCTGTCGCCTACAAGAAAGCAAATTACATGATTCGTGTGATTGGGTGCTTCTATTTAGAACTACTTTAGAACTTCTATTTAGAATCTTTTATTTTGTTGTTAATTTGCTGTTAAATATTATTTATATGTGCCAATTAGCGAGTAATCATTTTTTAGGCTATTTATTAATTAGTGGGATTTCTCTACACACGAGTTGTCTCGCTCCCACTCACACTAGGCTGGTTAACCGCCCACTGCCACGTGTGGCAATGCAAATTATTGTGGTGGGACCCACAGACCTCTAGTGTATTTCACACCCTGCATTTAATTTACACCATCCTAAGCAGACAGACAACTAATAAATAACATTCTGTATATATTACTATATATTTTACTGGCCTTTTTTAAAAAATAGATGTAGTAGTCATTTATATGTGTTGCAATTTCTCCTGAACCTTTTAATGGGATTAAGAGTGACAGAAGACTATGAAGGATACTCTTGTATCATCCTTTAATACTGTCAGAATGTAGTCTATATTTGAAGGATCCTCCTCTTTGGAATGGCCTTCACCAGCATAGTGGTCTGGACATGCAGCCCACCTAGACTGCAGCTTAGTTTTTGGAACACAGCTGCTGTGTTGGCTGTAAAGTACTGTAAATTGTGAAATATCCTTAAAACTATCTTCCTAAAACTTTCCTTAAAACGTTAACATCACTGTTCTCGCCACTCCTTTTAAACAATTTGCCTGTAGCGTACAATGTTACGAAGTGTGGGAAATCATGTGTTTTCTGACCTTAAACATGGCCGCCTGTGGTTCTCCCAGCTCATAAAAGGGTGGTTTGCCTGTGGCCATCTCTATAATAGTGCAGCCCAGTGACCAGATGTCTGCTGGCTTGCCGTATCCACGAGGGCCTTTGTCTATGATCTCAGGAGCCATGTACTGTAGTGTGCCTGTGGTGGAAAAAAAGCATCAACAACACAAAGAAATGAAGTTAAACAGCACAAAACTATATAGTTGATCTCATCAGCATGAACCAGTGTGGGCAGAACTGGCAAGTTTTTCGATTTTGTCTGACAGACTTCACTCCTAATGCGTGATGAATTCATTAAAGCAGCTAATCCAATGTACTGAGATCTCTCTGTGTGAAAGTTGAGAGGATCTCTGGAGAATCTGGCCTGAAAACATGCAGCTTTCTGGTGCTTCCTGTTTCTCTCTGAAGAAGAGAATCCACTCACAGGGGAGCAAATGATCTTTACAAACCGGTTCTGTCTCGATCAAGGGTGCCTCAAAGCCAAAAAACGGAATCTGAGCCAAGGGATTTGGAGTACCTAGAAGTGCCATTTGTTTGTGACCTGGGACAAAATGTTCAGATTTAGCTGTATATTTATTTATCTGTAATGATGCCAGCTAGATCAAGGTCAAAGTTGACGTCATGTGGAGTTTTCCCAGGCCCAAGAGTGCATGACCCAAGAGTGGGCTAGAAGACAGTAAGACTAACTTCAAGAGGAGTTCGAGCTTTGATGGAGAGAATCTTTTGGCAAAATATTCCCATAATATTGTGGTAGAAAAAAACATTCACTCAATAAATCCAACAATGACATCTGTCACTATATAACTGCCAAGGACTATGCAAGTTTGCCTGCATTTCGAATTTTCCAAGTAATGAATGATTTTCACGGTTACTGTTCAGTTACGTAGGAAAATGCACCTGAAAAGTGCTAATACTTTGGATACCTTCAACACTCAGCTTTACATTCATCAGTGTGCTTTCCTTGGCATCAAGAGCAGGTTTAAATAATCAGTTGACAGTTTTCTTTTCCAAACTATTGCAAGTCTTTTGGCCCAAAGATGGTTGAAAGCTTTCAGTGCAGATTAGTAATGACTAGTATTGGGTGGTATTGTTTATATAACAGCAAAAATAAAATTTCTGATGGTTTCTGAATTTTGTAGCTTATTATTCTGGGATGTCCCTTCACTTCTTAATAAGAACATTTAGAACAATAAGAATTTTGAACAATATTTTACTGTGCAATATAGTAAAAAAACTGAACAATATGTAGATAGAACTCTGTCAATATTATCTTCTAATGTTAGCCTGCAGACCTGGCAAAAACGGTGTTAAATGTTGATTCACATCTTAATTTCTACAAGGCTGAAGTTGGCTTCCTATTCACCAGCTTTTTGTTTGAGTTTTCCATCCCACCTTAAATGGAGCAGCAGAGACAATCTGGCTCCTGTACAGGCACCTGAATGTAACTGCTGTATTATTTAAGGTGGAACGAGAAATTTGAATAAGAAGCCAGTTTCAGCTGTGTCGAGGTTCTCAAGTCATTTGTCCCAAACATGCATGCCTCTAATTTCAGAAACTGCTGGAATTTGGAAAATATTGGCTTGTTGCATGGACAATGCCCTGATCACTCAGCTAATCAGAGTAGCGTGGTTTGCACTGCTTGTACATCATGTTATTTTTGCTGATTTCTGGCATATCAGTATAAAGGTTCTGACAAAACTTATACCCGAGGAAGAATATTAACCAACATACAATTGGCTGCACCTGCTTTCTACCTTCAGCTTATATGTTGTTTGGCATTAACCGATATATGGAAAATAATAATAATAAAACAATCATATATTAAAAAAAACAATTTTAAGTAACACCTTTAGGTAATAAACTGTTTCACACTTTGAAAGTGTGAAAGTTTTGAAAGTTTTTCATTTTGAAAAAAATCACACTTTTGTGACTGTAAAATATGTGCATTTGTGGGCTACTACTGGTTTGAGCATAGCTCGTTCATGGGGAGCCAGGCTACTTCCTATTTCTCCCATTATATCAAAAAAGACTGCAAAAATCTAGATCATGTCCCCAACCAAGCCCTCAGTAAATTTAGGTGAACAGAGCCAAACAGCTAAAAATGAAAATCAAAAATCTTTCTAGGCATTTATGTGTGAACTTCCTTTAATTTGGGAAAGTAGAAGGACGCATTCCAAGTGGTATAAAATAGCCTTGTTTCAACAGCCATTACCCAGATAAATAAACTGTAGTGATATTGCAAAGTGAACTGGAACCTTTTTATTTTTTGTGCTGGTCAATTGTCAGTTGTTTGTGTTGTTTGTAAAATATGTGTCGAGATGGATGCTGACCCATTTACTGCAAACCAAATTTACGTACAGGTGCATTACTGCTACCGCATGCTGATTGTTTGCTGAGCTGATCACCTCAGTAGATGAGTGAAGCAGTTCTCGCTCAGTGATGTCATGAATGCACTATAACTGGCTTAAAAGATCCTATAACTGAAGTTCAAAGGCACTTAAAAATGTAACAGCTGTGCTTTTTTCTGTATACAAATGAGCGAACAATTACAAAAGCCATAGGATCCCCTTCCTTTTGGACTCACTCAGGAGCACCCTCTAGCATCTGACAAAGCTAAAAGACATTATTGAGTGGCAGCTCTTTGCACCAGAAATGGTGGTTTCTTCCTTTTAAATGATGCACACAAAGTGACGTGTGCTAATAGCTTCCCCTTATGGAGAAACTGCAGACTGCTAAACAGTGAGAGAGAGAGTGAGCTCCTAAGCCACATCCACATGCTTTACATGTATAAAAAATAAGTTGTTTTCTGTCGTTACAGTGGATGCATCCATGCATTCTGGAGAAAGCTGTAGCATTGACAGTGGGAAATATACTTTACTCTGACTTAAGGGCTTACTAATGCCTGTTATAATCCAGTGTTGTAACAATAAAAGACAATGCCACATTACATGTAAGCATTATTTCATATTATTTGCAAACATTTGAAAATTGAACTATTTCTCTCTATTTCTTTATCAATACTTCCTCCCAACCTGGTAATTATCACTTTAAAGCATCGTCATTGGGTTATTTGTCAATCATCAATGACATCCGACTACATCACCCTATCGCCCGGGCCTATTTGAGCGTACTACGGACAAGAGAACTAGTTAAATAACTTTAGTGTAGAACACACAGAGGCATACATTAGAAGTAAATGCAAAGTTAACTGCCTGCAACTCAAATAAAGATGTATAAAGAAGGCGTTGGGTACCAGTGAAGGTCTCGGTGCAGGGGTTAATGCCAGCCAGACGCTTTGAAGTGCCAAAATCGGAGATCTTCAGAACCCCACTGTAGGTGTTTATCAGCACATTGTCTCCCTGTGTGTGGGGGGAAGAAGCAGATACAGAGGATGAATCACTTTATCTTAATCTATGAGCATGAGTGCACATGTTAGGACCTTATAACATGGCAAAACAGACAAGCCAAAACAAAAATACAAAAAGCAATGCTGGAAGGAACGTTCCCTTGATAAAAACATAGACACACAAAGGTATGCTCTTTTCCCACAAGTTCCTGTCATTGCTGTAGCACTGTGAAACCACAATGGTAGGCTTTACAGTGGTTTGAGGTTGTTTTTTTCTTCCTTAAGACCACACAGCAGCAGATGTTCTCGACAGGACAAGAGCAAAAATAGATGAACATTTACAGGAGTGGCTCTACAGAGAAATGAGGTGTGTACGAAACCTCAATGACTCTCCATTTAACATTAATAGCTAGCACACTTAGGCCATGCTATAGAATTCCAGTCCTTCTAGAACAAAGGAAGACGTACAAAATATACTGTTCATAACAACTTAAAACTGATGGTTATGATGTAAGGTGTTCTTGTTGTTGAGCTATTGCTATAAATAAGGCATTATGTAACTCTGTTTAACAAGGTGCAACACTTTGTTTTTGTCGTTTGCATGTAACTGAAAATTCTCTCACAGTATTATTTCGGGTTGTTGGTTCAGTTCCAAGATGTTCAAGGACAGGAAGGGTCATTTATGGTACTACTAGGGCTTAGCATTGTCTTGTACAGTTGCACTAGGCGTAGTTCTTGTGTACAATGCATAGTTTTACACTCAACTGTTACTTGTGCACTTGTAATATGTAGTCCTGTAAACTCAGGCCCAATCTCCAAGGCTCAAATTGACCACCACTGATCTACAGTCCACTGTATTCATCCTGATGTTATTTTCTGGACAACGTTTTCAACAGAAAGGGTTGTTTTCACCAGAAATAGAGGTCCATGTGGTCTAAGAACACTGCTACTTTACATTGGATTTTTGTTTGTTTCCTATAGTTTGTAGTATGTTAGTAATTTGTTTTGAACTTTCCCCCCTGGCTTGGGACTTTTCCATCATTGACTGAGAACCTGCCAGAATTCTTTTGACTGTGGTAGATAAGTTTAACAAGGTTGCAAGCCAGGAGACTCGTTACCACAGCAATGGAGTTTAACAAGGCCCCAGGCAAGGACAATTTGACTGTGGTAGCACAGTTTAATAAGGCTGCAAGCAATTACATGTCTTAAAGTGGTAGCATTTGACTAGGCTACAAGTCAGGGCACTTTTCTCCATAGTAGCATAGTTTAACAAGGCCGTGAGCTTGGCACTGCTCTCCACGGTAATGGAGTTGGACTAGGCCATGAGCTGGGACACTTCTTACCATGGTAACGGAATTTGACTAGGTTGTGAATGGGACAGGTCTCTCTGTGGTAGTGTAGTTTGACTAGGCTGCGAGCCAGGACACTTCTCTCCGTGGAAGAGATACTTCCCTCTGAGGTAGTTGAGTTGGACTGGGCCATAAGCTGGGACACTTCTTACCATGTTAACGGAATTTGACTAGGTTGTGAACGGGACAGGTCTCTCTGCGCTAGTGTAGTTTGACTAGGCCACGAGCAAGGATACGTCTCTCCGAAGAAGGAACACTTCCCTCTGCATTAGTTGAGTTGGGCTGGGCCATGAGCTGGGACACTTCCTTCTGCGGTAGTGGAATTTGACTAAGTTGAGAACCGGGACAGTTCTTTTTGCAGTAGTGCAGTTTGACTAGGCCGCAAGCCAGGATACGTCTATCCAATGAAGGAACACTTCCCTCTGCGTTAGTTGAATTGGGCTGGGTCAAGAGCTGGGACACTTCTTTCTGCGGTAGTGGAATTTGACTAAGTTGAGAACTGGGACAGTTCTTTTTGTGGTAGTGCAGTTTGACTCGACCACAAGCCGAGACACGTCTCCAAGCGGACGGGAAACTTCTCTCCATGGTAACAGAGTTTAATGAGGCCACGAACCGAGACATTTCTCTCTACAGAAATGGAGTTTGATTTAACAGAGACATTTCTCACAGTAGTAGTGGTGTTTGACTAGACCGCTGGGACACTTTTCTCCACAGTCGTGAAGTCTGACCAGGTCGCAAGCCTGTTTTTAACAAGGCTGTGAGCTTGGCACTTCTCTCATGGTAGGGGAGTTGGACTAGGCCATGAGCTTGGACAATTCTTACCATGGTAACAGAATTTGACTAGGTTGTGAATGAGACCGGTCTCTCTGCGCTAGTGTAGTTTGACTAGGCTGCGAGCCAGGACACATCTCTTCGAGGATAGGACGCTTCCCTCTGTGTTTTTGAGTTGGACTAGCCCATGAATTTCGGACACTCCTCTCTGCGGTAGTGGAATTTGACTAGGTTGAGAAGTGGGACAGTTCTAACTGTGGTAGTGTAGTCTGACTAGCCCACGAGCCAGGACATGTCTCCAAATGGATGGTAAACTTATCTCCATGGCAGCAGAGTTTAACAAGGCCACAAGCCGGGACACTTCTCTCTGCAGAAACAGAGTTTGATTTAGCCATGAACTGAGACACCTCTCTCTGTGGTAGTAGTCTTTGACTAGGCCGCGAGCTGGGGCACTTTTCTCCACAGTCGTGGAGTTTGACTAGGTTGCAATCCAGGACATGTCTCCCCATGGTAGTGGAGTTTGACTAAGCCACAGGCTGGGACACTCCTCTTCATGGTAGCAGAATTTGACTTGGCTGTGAACTGGGGACTTTGCATCATGGCAACAGAGTTTGACTGGGATGGAGCTTTGATTGGGCAACGAGCCAGGGATTTTTCACCATGATAGAGTCTGTGTGATGGAGTCTGATTGAGTCATGTGCCAGGGAACTATACATCACAGTTGGAGAGTTCTTCTTCATGCAAGCTGTGGAACTGTTGGTGTGTATGTTTTGTTGCAGTTATTTGGAACTGAAAAACGTCCTCGAGTTTGAGAAAGTTGCTATTTAAATTAAATGTATTATAATAATTTTTATAATTATGATGTTGTATCCCTGTGGTTACATCTAGACTCAATAAAACAACTCAACAACTCAAACACATCAACCTTCAAAACACTGAACATCTCAAGAAGCTGGCTGTGGAGCACTGCCAAATGTCAGACATACAGTTTCCCTTTACCACATGTCAATCACCAAGACAAGTCATGGTTGGTGTCTCAAGTTTGATTCTTTAGTTTTCCACTGGAGCTACGAGGCTAATGTAGTTAAGAAGTAAAGAAAGCTAATATGCACACTTGCCTCAAACTACACTGAGTTGTGTAATCTACGATACACTTGCTTATGTTGTTTCTGACACTGCATGACACACAGCTACGTGAGGCTTGAGATAAGTGTGTTATGATTTAGGAATGCAGTTTGCGTCATGTTAAATTTGGGGTAAACACCTCTGCTACTTGTTAGCTGCATTAGCCTTGTAGCTCTGGTGCAAAACTAAAGCCAACTGTGGACAGCAAATATGGCTTGACATCTACTCTTGGTTGATCAACTACATTTATGGTTATGCACAAAAAACTATACATCTGATTTGTTTTGCCAACCTATCACTTTAAATGAAAGTGTGACTGTTACCTTGATGTCCCGGTGAGCGATCTGGTTGTCATGCAGGTATTTGAGCCCCTCCAGGATCTGTTTGGTGTAGAATCCAATGGTCGGCTCGTTGTTTTTCAGTGGTCCCCATTTGGATCTCAGTAGTGCTGACAGGCTGCCTGCATTAATAATCACACACGCAAGCGATGAATAACACAAGAATTCGAATCCAAGGCATGTTTAGCCATTTTAGATTTGTCTCACCTCCAGGCACCTGCTCCATGAAGATCTTGATGAAGCCGTTCTCACTGATGGAGCCCAGGTATTGCACGATGTTTTTATGCTTCAGGTGCTTGTGCAGGGCTATCTCCTCATGCAGGGGCTGCGAGTATCTACAAACACAGCAAGCATGACTGTGTGACTTTTCCTGACAGTTTTACTGTTATTCCATTCTCCTGCAGCTCGCAGCTGTGCAGGTTCAATACAGCTTCAAATAATGAGCCTTCAGTATATTTTAATATGATATTATTTTCTGCAAATAAATCTGTTTAGTCTTAAACATGTTAGGTTATGGTAAACCAGTAAAGAAAACATTCTCATTTACATTTAAAAAATTTAAATGTTAGTTGTAACTAATGCATTTTGAAAGGCATGTGTTCACAAGCTCACTTGGGGTGGGGGTGTTAAAGGAAAGTCTTTATCTGATGTACATTTTGATAAGAACATTTTACTGCAGCTTTCTCTTGGGTGACACACACCACAGAGGCACAGTATAGGGTTTTCCGGGGGGGGGGCGGTGGCGGCTTTCAAAGTGGAGGAGATAAGAGTCTTCCTGTTGCAGAAGCTGCTGTCTGTGGGAGTCTTTAGACAAGCAGCACTTTGAATAAATCCCCTCATCACCATCACAAGCAGGGAGAAAGGAGGACACCAGTGTGCAGCTGTTGCTATGCTACCCTCCCTCACTCCCTCCCTGTCGCTCGCCCTGGCAAACCAACTGGCACGCAATCATGCCAAGATAGAGGTAGGGAGAGAAAGAGAGAGAGAGAAAGAGAGAGAGCAAAAGATAAACAGATACAGACAGACAGAGACAGGCACACACACACACACACACACATATATATCTCATATATATATATGAGAGATTGAGAGAGAGAGGGAGAAAGAGAGAGAGAGACAGACAGACAAGTACACAAGCAAGAGACAGATATAGCAACAGAGAGAGAGATACAAAGAGAGCGAGAGAGACAGAAACAGAAAGACTGACAGAGAGATACAGAGCCAGAGACAGATATATAGAGAAAGACAGATACAGAGAGAGAGACAGGTACACAAAGAGAGCTAGATGAGAAGCACACAAAAAGAACAATGGATGGGGAGAATACAGATAGAGAGAGTTAGAGACAGATAGAAAGAGAGAGAGAGAGAGAGAGAAGAGAGAGAGAGAGAGAGAGGAGAGAGAGAGAGAGAGAGAGAGAGAGAGAGAGAGAGAGAGAGACCACTGCTGTACTCATAAGAGCACTTTAGATAATTGTCCACTTTATTACCTCACACAGGAAGTACTTATATAACAGTGGCAGAAAGGTTACACAATCTATGAGTGTTTGACAGGTGTGTGTGAGTGTGTGTGAGTGTGTGTGAAGAGTGGAGAACTCTGGAAAGCTGCATAATCGCATGTAACCCTCACTCTGCTGATTAGTCACAGTCGCAGTGTGGCCGCTCTCATTATGGCAGAGCAGATGAAAGCCAGCCGAGGCGACTCTCCGTTGGCCGCGTTTACACTTCAGTGAAACCGTGACTCAGCGTTTTTTTCTGGAGGAGGTCCACACGCCCGCTGAGCAACAAAACACCACCGGGATCCTCCCCGTTCTGCTCCAACTCCACTTACATGACACACAAATGCACACATGAGCGTGCTCAGGTTCCCGTAACTGGGTCAAACACGTGTGAGTACCTGCTGTCCCGCTCAGGAATCTCCTTGATGGCCAGACGGACCTGGTTGCTGAGGTCACGACCCGCATAGACGATCCCGAAGGTGCCTTTTCCCAGAACCACCCTCTCTCCATGCTCGTCATACTCGTAATCGTACTGCAGAAAGATATACAGTATTGTGTTATTGTACTGTCCTGATCGGGCTGACTTCATACACTGTAAAATAAGATATCTTAGCAAGTTAAATTATCATAATACAGTCAAAAAAAGTATTTTTTTTATTTTGTTAAATAAAATGACCTAATGAGAAAATTTTGCTTATTTTAAGAAATATGCAAAATTATCTGTCAATATAATGAGCTAATTCTTCTTAATAAAAGTACTTAAAACAAGTATGACACATCAAGAAATATGTAAAATACCTTATAGTATACCTACAACCATCATAAAAAGAGAAACTTTACATATTTAGACTAGACTTAAGATGATTTCACTTGCTAAGACATTTAATTATGAGAACAGACTAATACTGAACCCCATATGATATGTGTATTTTTGTTAATAATACAGTCACACTCAACATTCCGCTATTACTGCATCCAATTAAACCCAGAACGAGATCACAAAATGCCAAATGTCGATGACACCAGGTTACCAAATGTGAAAAACTCAGTAAATTGTGATTAAAGTTTTCTATTGTGATTGAAAACTGTGATGAAAGAAAAGCGTTTATCGGCACTTTCACTGTGACATGCGGCATGTCCAGTCTGAGGTGGTCTTAACTTGGTCAGTTTGCATTGCAGGTCATGTAGGTACATCTTAAATCTAGTCTCAATAAGTATTGGGAAGGAATTAGCCAGAGGGAAGACGAAGTTATGGCAGGCAAAGTGTGTACATTTACACAGTGGATAACTACTTCCTAACGTGTTCATTAGTCCCAATGGACAAATGAACTCCGCTGCACATGTGCACAGCCAATCAGAATGCAACCGGCAAAATCCCAAAAGTTGTGGCCAACGGTTCATCTAGTTTTAGCAAGTACAGATCACATTCTTTTAAAACACGCTCAAAGTTTAGTTGGAGTCACTATTAGGCTGACTGTCTACTGCATACTTGGATACAAACAACAGACTAATCAACCGTTTCAAGTTCTTTCCTTTTCTTTCCTTTAAATACCACCTTTACTGCGTGTAGCGCTCCAGTGTTGTCTTTCAAACGGACAGTTTTTCATAATAAAAGGCTCATTATTTGAAGCTGTGTTGAACCTTATCTTTAGCAGCGGTTTACTTTTGTACAACGCAATTCCTGCAGCTAATTATGAAACGAAACTAACATTCTCTACTAAAAACTCGAGATTCGACTCAAACTCAGACCCTAGAGTCCCAAGACTCGACTCAAACTCAGACCCTTGAGTCCCGAGACTCAACTCAAACTCAGACCCTAGAGTCTTGAGACTTGACTCAAACTGAGACCCTTGAGTCTCGAGGCTCGACTCAAACTCAGACCCTTGAGTCCCGAGATTCGCCTCAAACTCAGACCCTAGAGTCTCAAGACTCGACTCAAACTCAGACCCTTGAGTCCCGAGACTCGACTCAAACTCAGACCCTAGAGTCTTGAGACTTGACTCAAACTGAGACCCTTGAGTCTCGAGGCTCGACTCAAACTCAGACCCTTGAGTCCCGAGATTCGCCTCAAACTCAGACCCTAGAGTCTCAAGACTCGACTCAAACTCAGACCCTTGAGTCTTGAGACTCGACTCAAACTCAGACCCTTGACTCTCGAGACTCGACTCAATCTCAGACCCTTGAGTCTTGAGAGTTGACTCAAACTCAGACCCTTGAGTCTCGACTCAAACTCAGACCCTAGAGTCTCAAGACTCGACTCAAACTCAGACCCTTGAGTCCCGAGACTCGACTCAAACTCAGACCCTTGAGTCTTGAGACTTGACTCAAACTGAGACCCTTGAGTCTTGAGACTCGACTCAAACTCAGACCCTTGACTCTCGAGACTCAACTCAATCTCAGACCCTTGAGTCTTGAGAGTTGACTCAAACTCAGACCCTTGAGTCTCGACTCAAACTCAGACCCTTGAGTCCCGAGACTCAACTCAAACTCAGACCCTAGAGTCTCAAGATTCGACTCAAACTCAGACCCTAGAGTCTCAAGACTCGACTCAAACTCAGACCCTTGAGTCTCGAGACTCGACTCAAACTCAGACCCTAGAGTCTCGAGATATTTCCTTTTTTCCTACATGTATAAGGTTACTGTTAACTAAACAACTGGACTAAAAAAATCTACTTGCAATCGTGTTTCCCATCGGACTAATGAACCCGACTGCATGGAGGTGCATATGCATGGCTATGTAGATAGCCAATCAGAATGCAACCAACAAAAGTTGTGGCCAGCTTATCGTGCACATGTGGGTGGAGCACCTAAGCCTGAACAAAGCTGCAGTTAAAAGTCTTTGTTAACCTCTTTCTCTTAAAGCAGGGGTTCCCAATCCTGGTCCTGGAGAGATTAGATCCAACACACCTGGCTCTAATATTCAGATGCTCCTGAAGGCCTGGATCAGGTGTGTTAGAATAGGGATGGAGCTAAACTCTCCTGGGTGGTGGATCTCCAGGACCAAGATTGGGCAACGCTGCCTTAAAGTATGCCTTGATAAGCTGTACTACCAATCTTTCTGGTTGGATCTGGATATCTCTACTTATGTATAAGTAAAATCATATTTCTCTAACATGTAAAGTTCTGAGGATAAGCAGAAAAAAAAGTCGTCATATTTTGCATGTTTTCAGGGTGTTACAGCACTACAAGCATACACACAAAGGGAAAACAAATGAACAAGCTACGTAAACAACATGCAATTTCAACAACTAGACGAGAATTCAAGAAATATGAACCTACAGCAGGTTAAACACAGAAACTGCCTCTGCCCACACAGTTACAGAGAACAGAACACCGGGGCAAGTTTCTACAGGCTCGCACTCCAGGCACGTGTACAAAAACACATCAAATTCACAAACAGAGGTGATTGCGTGTGCTTGTTTTGTACAGTTCAAACGCTCTTTCCGAAACCCGATAGGAACTGGGTCATTCCAGCAAAAGAAGAATAGCGCTGACTCATCATCATTGGGTAATTATTACCTGCGTCCTATTTAAGCACGCCGAGACACAGGCGCCGTGTGCAGCAGGTGGAATTTACACTGTAGAACCGCAGACAGGTGCACTGAGATTCTTTCAACAACCAGACAAAACAGCCATTTAGAACTGGCGTGACCATAAAAAGTGAGAGGGAAGTAACAACACTCTTGTTTGAGATCATTTCTGATAGTGTCATGTCTATATTGTGCTTTTTATTTCATGTTTTACTATGTTTTTGAAGATATTTTCACACTACAAGCCCTCACAAACACCCGAGTAAGCCTTAAAAGTCACTTATACAAACCCAGTTCCAAAAAAGCTGGGACAGTACCGTGATTTGTAAGTCCCCTTTGTATTTAAAATTTTTAAACCTACTTTTCTAGTAAATATATGGTCATTCTGAAATGAATGCCTACAACATGTTTCAAGTTGGGACGGGGCAATTTAAGACCAATTGTAGAAGACGTGATGTAATCATACTTGGGTACGCTAGGTCAAAGAAATACAGGAGCATTTAGATTGTTACCAGTGTAAAGTTCAAAAGCCAATGTCTGTCAAGGTATCGGGGGAGGTTTACTGCATAACTGGTACATCAGTACCACTGGTACATGGTGAAAACATATTTAATGCTGAAAGATATTTTGAAGCAACATCTGCTGCCTTTTAGACGCCATCTTTTTCAGGGATATCAAGGGATATTTTTCAGGGACATCAAGGAAATAAGCGTGTATTTATAAAACTACAATGAAGTTCATAAGGTAAAAAAATCTAATTTTGTTTTGGTTTTATTCAAATACAGGTCAAACGGAATTTACCAATCACTGCTTCCTGTTTTTATTAGCGTTTCACATTTTACTGTCCTACCTTCTTTGGAGTTGGGCAAGTAGCAGAGATGGGGACTGGAGTCAGCATCTCAAACGCATGTTAACTGACTCGCGACTTGGATTTGTAAGTTACAGTCATGCACAGTTTTACCGCAGTGTAGGTCTCATGTAGCTCACAGTGGTGTCAGTTTTGCCACGGCTTCAAGTAAAGAACATTTCATGTAGGAAAACTAGACAAAAAACTGAAGCAATACATGCAGTAAATGTGGTGTTTAAAGGAAAGAGGCTAAACGACTGTTTGGATAGCAGGTAGTTTGGCTTAAACACCACATTTACTGCATGTAGCACTTCAGTTCTGACTTTTGCTTGTCCTCAAAAATGAAAAATATAGCGCAGTTACAGAGCCAAATCACTTCATTTTCCCTACATGAATACAAATACTGTAAATGAAACACTTGACATCTCCCTGGCCAGCTCTGTTAAGTCTATGAACTTCATCTCCCAGGATTCCGAGAGAGATCAGATGATGCCCACAGCTACAACCTCCATCTATCTACTCCTTCATTCCACATCACAAGAATACTGATTGTTTACATCTGTTCCTAACCTCAGTTTCAGTTTATAAACACTGGTTAGTTCTCATCACTTGTTGCAAAGTATTGCCCTGTATCATGGTGCACACTGAGTGTTATACCTGTGTTATACCGAGTCTCATTTCTCTGTGTTTTGACCCCCTTTGTTTATGCGACTCGGTCTTTGGCTTTTCACTTTTGATTTTCTTTGCTGGTTTTTGGACGCTGTTTTTGGCTTTTCACCTGGACCTGTTTTTGACTACTCTTTTGCTTCTCTCAATGCACCGTGTACTCGCTCTCTCTGTTTTGACCTTGGCCTGTTTTTATACCACTTTTTGGCAAACCCTACTGTGATTAAAGTCAACTGTTCTGTTGTTATCCACGAGTGTCTGATTAGTTTTGGAGTGTTACAAAAATCATATTTTCATCCTTACACCAAATGTAGCTGATCAGCCAAGACATGTTTGGTATCTGAGGTCTGCTTTTTATTTTTGCACTGGAGCTACAAGACTAATGTAGCTAACATGTTATGAAAACTTATAGCCCCCAAACAAACACAAGTACAGACACAATTTAGATGGAAAGCTTTAGGCACTTTCAGTGAATAGAGTTCATTTTAGGCCTTGAATCTCTTTAAAATGTACTTTTTCCATTGGAGTTTTTTGAACCCAGAGATCAGAGAATGGTAAGCTGTAAACAAGATCATTCAGAGTGATTTAATGTGAAATGAAGTCAATTGTGGTGATAGTAACCAGCTGTCTGAAGAGTTTAATGCTTCTAAATTCATATTATTATCATTACTATTATTATTATTATTATTATTATTATTATTTCATGTATGTTGTATGTTGAGATATGAACTCAGAAGACACGTTGGTCCACCCTTCATTCTGGATACCAAACAAAATGGCTATATGGTTCCTGTCACCACCATTGTAAAGAAATCTGAGTTGGTAAGTTCTTTGCAATGAACAATTTCACATCAAACCATTCTAAATGACTGCGATATTTTAGCAAAACAAGAAATACTACAAAAGTACATTGCATAGCGAAAAACAGCATCACCAAAACTTTAAATTTTTCAATACATCTATCTATTTTGATAGATAACTTTGTGTCATACAGCGTCAGAAACCTCTGAGATTACTTAACAACTCTGCACAGTTTGAGGTGTGATGATGTGAATATGCAGTTTGCACAATGCTAAATAGCACATTTAATACCTTCTAGCCACACTCTCCTCACAAATCCAGAATAAAACTAAAAAAAGCAAACTTTTTGGAACGACTACATATAGGATAAAAAAAAATGATGTAAATTAAGAACACTTCACATTTAAGGATGACGTTACTCTATTTCAGCATTTGAGTGCATCGCAGTCATCCAATATTATGCATGTGTGTGTACCTCTAAAGCCTCCGAATCACACTCTGCCTCATCCTGAACCCGCCACGCTTCCTCCGTCATACTGTTCACCAGCTCACAGAACCTGCAGAACACACACAAAGTAAAACGCACACACATACATAGAAGTTACGACACATTTTATATTCAATAAATAGAACTAAAATTTGCAGAAGAATGTATAATTAAGTATGATCTTTGTAGAGAAAATGTTCACTTATTTCAACTTAGAAAATCAACAAAGCATGCAATTTGACTGGGAGTATGGAGAGCTGGAGAACAAACATGCAATTATTGTACTTGAAAGAGCATCTGAAGATGAGAACTTAGGCTGTGTTCACACAGCAGGTTAAAGTGGCCCAAATCTGATCTTTTTCTTCATATGTGACACAGATGTGTAGTCTGTATGTCAAAAAACACACTGAATCTGACATTTTCGATTCCGATTTAAGACACTTTCATATGTGGTATTGAAATCCGATACATATCCGATATGCGGCAATGCGACTCTGAACAGCCAGATCTGAACTCATGCGACTTTAACGCCAATCCAACTCGACATTCATCATTCTGCGCTGCTGAGACTGAGGTGATGTTTCTGTACAAAAAACTAGAAGAGACATATCCAAAAGCCTCCGGGTTCAGTTAAACACAGTTAAAAGTCTGACAGTGAAGTGTAAAGAATCTAAGGACATGAACCAAAGAAGTGACTGTGACCTTTTTACGGCGAGCTCAACCACATTCTGGATGATGAGCCGAGCTGTCAGTCAATGAAGCTTGATGACGGCTCCTGTGATGCTGGCGAAGGTGAAACTGAAAACTCCGGGGGCGACTGGTGTTTATTGGCAGTCGTGATTGTTTACCTCTGGATGAGCCACATGAAGCAGCATGAAGCATTGTTCTTTTGCGCATGTGGGTCAGTTTAAGAGCTGATCTGTTCAGACTGATGTTGCATAGCGTTCACATTTAAAAGATATTGTTAACAGCCAAACAGCAAAATCAGATTTGGTAAGATTTGGGCCACTTTTACCTGCTGTGCGAATGTAGCCTTACTTCCTCATACCAAAATGGGCTTAAATGACACTCTCAGCTCTACAAGCACTTTTTCTGTTCTGTTTTTTGGTCAATTTGCAAAGAAAAACAAACTCTGTCTATTCACACATACTGCAGCTGTTGGAAACCAATCTCCAAAACGGTAAAAGAGACTCGCGTATGTACGTTTGTACGTTAATGTAGTAAGTCATTTCAGATCATTTCTATTGACCCCTTCAGGACAATATAAAGAGCAGCTGGCCTTACGTCCTGAATAAATGCAGTTAGGAGGTTCTGACATTGACAGCGATGATATACAGGCACCCACACACACCTTTTGCAGTGCATCTCAGTGCAGAAGTAAATCTGGAAGTCTTCAGAGTTGTTCAACACATAGAGGAAGGAGCTGCGCTCATCAAACTTGGAAATGCTGTGATGGAGAAAGAGCGTGTGAGAGAGAGAGAGGGAGAGGGAGAGAGAGAGGTATTTATCTATAAACAACCAGCCTCATCCCTTACTTCTTTATGACCTGTAACTTTTTAATGCTGTCTTTAAAAACAGCTGTTGCAGCCTTATAAGCCACTTCTAGTCTTCTTTAAAGGGGAATTCCACTATTTTTTTTTCCGTAGTCAAGATGTAAATAAAGTCCTTCAGACCGATTTGTTGTGAAATGCTTCACTGAAGAGAAACTTACAGACTCAGATTTATCGATTTATTTGCAGTGCGGGTGATAGGAACCAGGAGTCACAATGTCTACAACACAAATATTTACTATTTACAAGATTTACTGTCCAAAATGACAAGTTAACGTTTCTTTGAAGGACTATTTTGCCTTACAACATCCTGCATAGTAATCATAATAATAATTATTAGTATTATAATTAGAATTTATAGAGCAATTTTTCTACCAGCGGCAGCTTTACAGACAAGTGATAAAGCTTGACAGTAATAAAAGAAACTATGAGTATTCATTTAAAATCTTATAAAGCCATGACACAGATCAAATTAAAAATATAAATACCAAAGAGACGTAGAATTTTAATTAAACGCTAAAATAAAGAGATACGTTTTCAAATGTTTCTTAAAAGTGTGCACTGAGCTTGACTGACTAATAAAAGTTGGAATTGAGTTCCACAGTTTAGAAGCAGAATAACTGAAAGAATCTCTCCACATTTTCTGTATTTAACAGAAGGTATTAGTAAAAGGTCAGTATCTGCAGATCTAAGATCCGTAATGGAATACAAACAGGCAGACATTCCGTGCTGTAAGCGGGTGATTTAAGGTCATTTAGAGTCTTAAAAAAACAACTTTATCCTGAAAGATAGAGGCAGCCAGGGCAGTTCTTTCGAAACATGGGTGATATTATTGCCATGCTTCCTGATAATATCACATAGAGGTAACAAGTATAAAGAAAAAAGCAAAAACCCTAAAACAGAACCTTGTGGGACTCAAGAAATGAAATGTTACTGTGGCAGTGGTACTGCTAGAGGGCTGCAGACATTTTTCTTTTAAACATATATATATTTAACCAAGTGTTATTTAAAATATGACTAATTATTTGCAAAAATAGAACATCATATTTTAGTGGACCTCATTCATTAGTCTGGAAAAATGCCAAATGTTTACAAAGCTATGTTTACATTTTCAGTGCAAGGCAAAGTAAAATGTTTCTCTTTTCATTCGTATGAAATTCATCCATCATGGATTAATAGTTCTTTTTTTTAAAAAAAAAGAATGGATCACAAGGCTGGACCACCTACAAGTGAAACAGCCACTGTATCTCAGAGAACTGCAGGATCCAAGAACAAACCAAAACCAAGAAAAACACAGCTGTGAGTACCGAGCCTCATCACGCCGCAACACAGATAGGGCAGAATGCCTTCAGGTGACAAAGATATCTTTGCTCCTCAGAAAACTGGCAGACGATGTGGAAAAGTAAGAGGAGCTTGCAGAGTTTGACCATTTCATTCAGGAGCTGGAGATTTTGGATACAGCTCGGATGTTTGTTACTCCTTTTAAGCTGATTTTGGAGATGCGAACTCCGTCCATGAGAAAGCAGAGGACAAGTGAATCCTGTTACCAGCGAAAGTCCACAGCGATCAAACAGAGTGCTAATAAAATAACACTGCATTTTCACCATTCAAAAAATTGCCTATGGTGTGCAGAATATTTTCAGTTACACGTCATCAAATTAATTTACTGCTGTTTGAAAATTCTGCATGGAAAATCACTGTTTTAAATAAAGTTTTGAAGCCAAACAAATGACACCGTCAGCTGGAGGCTAAACAAATATGCATCTAAATCTACTGAACTGAGCCAGGCCCCTTTTCACAACTTTCATTTCTTCAGCATGTCATGCAGCATTTGGTAGCTGCCAAACAACATTAGCCAACTCAATAGGTGAGTTCGAAAATGTTCAGTTATTTTTACTGTTTATTATGTCGTGTCACATTATAAAATCAAGCAAAACTGACAGGCTACATTGATTAATTGCACTTTGAGTGACCTGGTTGGTAAAATCTTGTGAGCCATGGAAGATTTTGTGGTTGGTTGAGTGGACTGTGAGTTAGAGAAAGTTGGGAACCTCTCATCTATTAATTAAATATGATTTAAACCATTCTAAAACTGGGCCAGAGAGGCCGTATTCAAGTGGATTGGAATCTTGTGATTAGCTGTATCAAAAGCTGCACTAAAATCCTATAAGAATAAAGTAGAAGGACTTTGTGCATCAGCACTAAGCCTGAGGTCATTCACAGCATGAGCCAATGCTGTTTCGGTACTATGGTTAGAAAGAAAACCTGATTGAAATTTCCATAAAGATTTCCATATAATGAATGTAGTCTCCAGTTTTTATTACTGACGTCTGGTGAGAGCAACAGTGGTTGCACGTTCCAACCAATGACTGTATATATCATGTCATCACTGTTTAAAAAGGATCTTCAAAATGCCAACTTTGAAGGAGAAGGCAAAAAACTTTTTTACTTTAATGCAAGTTAATATAAAGAGATCGGATTCCAAGCATTTTTGGTGCATATCTGGTGGTCCATTTTTTAGGATATATTTATATATCTTTACCAAAAAAGACAAGAGCTTTTACAAAGCTCAGCAGCAAGAGGTGGCTTCTTTTATGCTTTTTTAAGCTTTTATTTTCTGGCAGAATTCAGACGCTGCATCTGTGTGAGATACTGAATTAGGTTTGCTGGCCTGCTGGTTAAACTGACAAGCCTACTATGGTTGTAAACATTGCTGAAAGTCTCTACTTAAGCTTCATACTTCAAATTTTGCACAATATGCACGCTCATAATGTCTTGAGCCATTTAAGAACAAATTTTATGGGGTATGGTGTGGCATTCTCTGCATCTTTGAGCTGTTTTTGAGTTCTTGTGGATGGAATATTTTTGAAAATACTGTTGGTTTTGAAAAAAGAAAAACTCCAATACATGTAGACGAGGTCTCGATCCCACAAGGCCACTGTTTTAGGTCAGATACCCCAAAATTCTGTCTACAGAGACACACATACAGAACTAAGCAACAAAGGCCTCACTATGCACTCTTCACTCCAGGGACTTTCCTTTTGTGTGTGTGTGTGTGTGTGCGTGTGTGTATGTGCGTGCGTGTGTGTGTGTGTGCGTGCGTGTGTGTGTGTGTGATGGGTGGTGAGAATGAGTTAGACAGCTCGAGTGTTAAACAACTGTTCATTTAGTGCCATGATGAGAGTGGGAGAGACAGAATGTGTGTCCGTGTGCACACATCTCCACTCTAAAACTCTATTGTGAGTGCGCTGGCAGTAGATGTTCCCTAGCAACCCAGGAACTGTCTTGACCAATCACGGCGCAGCAGTCAGTCAGCTGGCCTTGAAGCCATTCTCTGATCAGTCCGCACTAATCCTCACTGGACACTTACTACTTCGCAAGAAGGCTTACTAATGACTAACGACCACAACATCACAGAAACTCATTGCTTTAGCGCTCTTTACAGGGCCCATATCATGGAAAACTGAATTTACTTGCCTTTTTTGAAGTAAAAGAGATTCATGAAGTTAAACCTTCAAAATGCACCATTTACAGCCCAGCCATTGTTTTTGTGATGTCAGATTTATATTCATCTACCTATTCAGAGTGCAGTTGGCCCCGCCCACTCACACTGAAGTTAAGGTGAAGAGGAGTGTTTCGGCCCAGATTGCTTTATGAATGAGGCACAGCTAATCAGGACAGAGCTCATTTACATATATCACAAACAAAAATGGCCTGTTTAATTCTACAGAATTTTGGAAAACGGTCATGAAAAAATGAATGTATGACTGTTCTTGGCTCATAAGAATGCACAAATGTTATAAGCAGACCTCAGAGGGAAAAATATACAAGAAAACACAAGAAAAGCACAGCATATGGGTCATTCTCCATTCTCCAGCAGGAAATCGTGTCACAAAGGTTGCAGGGCTTAAAAAGATGCTTAAAATATCAGGCACAGCTCCAAAAGTTGGTATGTACATTTATACGTTGACTTAAGATTAATTAATACTTTTCCCCTTATCATTTCTCTGATTTTTCTTTTTTTATCCTGTTTCACAGTCCCTCTACGTATGTAAAATAGCTTGCCACAAAACCAATGTTCAACACTTGAAAAAACATTTTTAATATAAAACAATATTTTTAAGAGGTTTAACTTAGAAAATTTGTGTAAAACAGATTCATGTTTACTTTTCACATCATTAACGTTATACTGCATTTAAACAAAATGTATTTTATTTAAAAAATACTTTTGTCATAGAGATTTTGGTCACTGGTGTAACTGGGACTCATATTACATTTTTACACAGTATTTTCAACTATTAAACTGCTCCTTTGGGTCGAGGCTCATCAGAGAGGAAGCATCTCAAGGCGAGTCCACACTTGCTCACTATATTTCACTAATTTATTAATAATTTTGTTTTTCAGGCAGCACATAACTTCTATGTGTCAATGGTGTTATGTGTTTTAATGGCTGAGTATTAAAATGAATTAATTTTGTCAAAATAATGCCGTATATCATTTTTATTACTGCTTTTAAATAGTTGCACAATGTTACCTGACCACCAATGAGTCAGCCAATTCACAAAATCCTCAGTTTTAACCAGAATGTAAAAAGGAGAGCTTAATTCCAAACATATTTTAAGTCACTGGTGTTGTATGAATATGGTGTAACCCCAGTGATGGTGACACCAGTGACTTAAAATATGTTTGGAATTAAGCTCTCCTTTTTGCATATATGATAAGAGATGTTAATGGACATATTAAGATTATTCAGTTTTGGGATTTAAAAATGTATCCACCTGAATTCCCTCTTCAAATGGAGAATAACCCATATGGGCCATTTAAAGCGATAGTTTAGTAAATACATTTACCCAACAGACCACTTATCCCAAATGTAGTCAATCAGTCAAGCGTGCTTCTTTTGTCCATTTTATAGACAAAAGTATGTCATACCGTGTCAGAAACCACATAAACAAGTCTACTTAAGATTAGATAACAACTTGACACCTAATCGTGATTTAGGTATGCAGTTTTCACAATGCTGATTGGTGGGGTTCAAGCTCCTATGACCTCTTAGCTATATGAGCCTTGAAGCTACAGCACAAAAGCAAACAAGCAAACTCCAGACACCAAACACGTCTTGGCTGACTGACTACGTTTGGTGTATGTGGGAAAACAGCACACATTTGATTCTTCAACAATCTAACATGTTAAACTCCAAGGGGGAACCACAGCTGGTGGGTTATAAAGTGCAGCAGTCAGGCTGGAACATTCAGAGCTACTGTTGGAGTGGCTGTTTCAGCACCGCCTCATTTGGACTTTCAAGTTGGTGTGACTCACCTCACCCCCCGCACAGACGCTGCACTGAAATTCCACTCATGGATGCCCTTATTCTGAGGGAGAGAGAGAGAGAGAGAGAGAGAAAGGGAGAGAGAGAGAGAGAGAGAGAGAGAGAGAGAGAGAGAGAAAGGGAGAGAGAGACACTGCTGTGATAATGTACAAAGACGTTTTAACATGTTAAAACTTATTCACAGTATGTTGATCTGTGTGTGTGAGAGAGGGAGAGAGAGAATGAGAGACTTTCTTAATTACATAAATATATTTAATAATTAACTTTTTTCTCTCTTATTATATACTGTAATATATATAATGTATATAATATGCAGACACATATCATATAGGTTTTGTTTTATTATTATATATACTTTTATATTATTAAATGATAATTAACACTTTCTCTTCTTGAATGTTGTATTGTTATATGTCAATCTTAGTTTTGTATTTTTGTTTTTTTATTTACTTTTAATACACAGATAATTGTTGCAGTTCTTTGACAATGCAGGTGTAAATTTGTCATGTCAATAAAAACTTGAACAAACTTGAACTGATCAGAGAGAGAAAGAGAGAGAAACAGACATATAGCGATAGTGAGAAAGAAGCAAGAGAGAAATAGAAAACAGTGATATGAGGAAGAGGAAGAAGAGGAAGAAAACAGAGACAGACAAAGAGAGAGAGAGAAGAAAGAGGGAGAGAGAGAGAGAGAGAGAGAGAGAGAGAGAGAAAGACAGAAAACTAGAGAGAAACAGAGAGAGAAACTGTGAGACAGTGACAGAGAGAGAAAGAAATTAAGTGAGAAATAGAGAGGTAGAGAGACATAGAAATGGATAGATAGAGAGGGATGGCAATAACTAGAGAGAGGAAAAGGAAGAGAGTGATAAAGAGAAACAGAGGGACAGCGATAGACAGAGAAACAGAGAGAAATAGAGCAAGACAGAGGCAGCGACAGAAAAAGAGAGGAAACAGAGGAAAAGAGAAAGCCATAGAGAGAGAAAAAGAGAGAGACAGCAGTTGAGAAAGACAGTAAAAGAGACACAGCAGCTGAGAGAGAGTGAGAAAGAGAGATAAGAATGAAAGAGCAAAAGAGAGACAGGAAAAGAGAGAAGATAGCAATTGAGAGAGAGAGAGAGAGAGAGAGAGAGAGAGAGAGAGATAGAGAGACAGAGAGAAAGCAACAAAGAGAAAAAAGAACTTAAGTGAGAAATAGAGAGGTAGAGAGAAACAGAAAGATAGAGAGAGAAGGCGAGAGAGAAAGATGGCAATAGTGAGAGAGGAAAAGAGACTGATAGAGAGAAATAGAGAGACAGCAATAGAGAGAGACACAAAGGGAGATACAGCAAGATAGAGATAGCAACAAGAAGAGAGAGAAAAAAGGAAAAGAAAGCAATAGAGTGAGAGAAAAAGAGAGACAGCAGTTAAAAAAGAGAGGAAATAAGAGAGACAACAGCTAAGAGAGTGTGAGAGAGCAGAAGAAAGACAGCAACAGAGAGACAGGAAAACAGAGAGGGATAGCAATTAGAGAGATAGAGAGAGAGAGAGAGAGAGAGAGAGAGAGAGAGACAGAAATACAGAGAGGGAGACTGATCAAGACAGAGAATCAGAGAAACAGAACAAAAGAGAGAGTGACAGAGCAATAGCAATATATAGCAATAGAGAGAGGAAAAGAGATAGAAAAGCAACTGAGAGACACAGTTAGAAAGAGGAAGATAGAAAAAAGTGGGACAGAAAAGCAGAGAGGGAAGGAAAAAAATAGAAGAGAAAGAGATAAAAGGAGAGAAAGAGTTAGTGATAGAGAGAGAAACAGCAAGAGCAGGAGAGAGAGAGAAGGGGACAGAGAAAGAGACAGTGAGATTAACCATGAGAGAGAGAGAGAGAGAGAACAGAAAGAGCGAGAGAGAAAGCACTAACACTATGACTCTTCACACCTAATGAGTCACTAACAGGAAGCAAGAGAAACAGGACATTGATGAGACTGACCGAGGGCCACTGAGTGTCTATTTCCTTCAGACACACACACACACAAACACACACACACACACACACACACACACACTGACACAATTCCAGCACAGTCATATCAGCAGGCAACTGGTCTGACCATTCAGTGATAAATCAGATGGGTGATGTCATACAGGTGTGTACTGCAGCAAACACTCCTGAGCTATGACCATCATCTCACATCGTCTTTGGAGAAACATGCCCGAATGCAGCACCACTAAAAAGTTTGGACCTACTACTCACAAAAGAGTTTCCTTCATTTTTGTGTGTCCAGACTAACTGTGTGTATACTGTGAGTGAATTAATGAATTCTGAATGGGTGACAGAACAAATAAATAAAAGAGTGAGTGAACGAGTAACTGATCGACAGATTGAATGAATATACAAACGGTTGAATGAGTGAGTGAGATAATGAGTGTGTAAACAAGCGAGTAAGTGAATAAGTGACAGGATGGATGAATGAATGAATGAATGAACACTTACTTTGTCATCAGGAGCCACGTGCCAAATGGACAAAGTGTGCTCTTCTGCATCGTTGTTGATTGTCAGGTAAGACGGCTGGTAGACTTTAGTGGGCTCCAGTATCAAAACCTGCCATAATCACAAATATCCAAAGATGAATTTTATCATGATAAACCTGATTATTTATTATTAATAACTTGAAACATTGTCATCAAATCATATTCACACAGTTCATAAATTTATATGTAGTAAAGTTATATGTACAACCCTATTTCCAAAAAAGTTGGGATGCTGTGTAAAATATAAATCAATGTAAATAAAAACAGAATGCAATGATTTGCGAATCACATAGACCCCTATTTTATTCACAATAGAACGGAGAACACATATCAGATGTTGAAAATGAGACATTCTACCATTTCATAAAAAAACATCAGCTCATTTAGAACTTGATAGCAGCAACGCATCTCAAAAAAGTTTGGACAGAGGCAACAAAAGGCTGGAAAAGTAAGTGGTACTAATAAAAAACGGAGGAGCAATTTGCAACTAACTCACATGACTGGGTATAAAAAGACCCTTTTAGAAAGGCAGAGACTCTCAGAAGTAAAGATGGGCAGAGGTTCACTAATCTGCAAAAAACTGTGTTTTGGAACACAGTTGTGGAACAACTTCAGAAAAATGTTACTCAACGTAAAATTGCGAAGACTTTGGATATCCCACCATCTACAGTACATAATATCATCAAAAGATTCAGAGAATCTGGAGAAATCCCTGTACGCAAGGGACAAGGCCAACGGTCAATAATGGATGCTCGTGATCTTCGGGCCCTCAGACGGCACTGCATTGAAAACAGGCATGATTCTGTACTGGAAATCACTGCGTGGGTTCACAAACACTTCCAGAAATCATTGTCTGTGAACGCAGTTCGCTGTGCAATCCACAAATGCATGTTAAAGCTGTATCGTGCAAAGAATAAGCCATATATAAACAGGATCCAGAAACGCCACCGTCTTCTCTGGGCCCAAGCTCATTTAAGATGCACTGAGGCGAAGTGGAAAAGTGTCCTGTGGTCCAATGAATCAAACTTAGAAAATTTTTTTGGAAATGTACATTGCATCCTCCAGGTTAAAGACCTCCCAGCTTGTTATTAGCACACAGTTCGAAAGCCAGCATCCTTGATGGTATGGGGGGGCGCATTAGTGCACATGGCATGGGTGACTTGCACATCTGTGAAGGCACCATTAATGCTGAACAAAATATACAGGCTTTTGCAACGTATGCTCCATCCAGACAGTGTCTCTTTTAGGGAAGGCCTTGTATATTTCAGCAAGACAATGCTAAACCACATACTGCATCCATCACAACTGCATGGCTTTGCAGAAGAAGAGTCCGGGTGCTGAACTGACCTGCCTGCAGTCCAGACCTTTCACCAACAGAAAACTTTTGCTGCATCATGAAAGAAAAATCCCTGTTTACATTCATTTACATTTTACACAGCATCCCAACTTTTTTGGAATTGGGGTTGTATTTATAAAACTTTTAAAAAACTTTACATTTTTTTTTTAAATGCCAGCTTTTGACAAAAGTGCTGTACAATCCAGTAAAACAATTTGAGTTACAGTAGTCGAGATGTGATGTAAGAAGAAACATGAATGACAGTCTCCAAATCATTAAAAGTGAAAGAACAGGTTTTAAGGTAGGAGTGGTTTGGAGCTGAAAGACGCTGCCGTTTTTAAAACAATGCTGATATGTTTTTAAAGTGAATTTTATGCAGTAATGTTCAACAGACAGACACCACCCTTTTGATTATTTCATTTCCAGTTAAAACAGTCCACTGTGAGAAGACAACTCAATGCTGTGGGTCTGAAAGGATATATAGCTGAGAAGAAGTTGCTACTGAAAAGGAAAAATAGACAAAAAAGAAGAACATTTGCACTAAAACACCAAAACTGGACTTCTGAAATGTGAAGTGGTTTTATGGACTGATGAGTCTGAATGTGTTTGGGATTATTTGGATCGTGAGAACCAAAAAATGCAACCAGGTTCTAAGACTGAACTTTGGAGGTGTTTGCAGATTTTCTCCCAAAAAGATTGGTTGATGTAATAAAAGCAAAGTGTGGACACAATAAATATTAAAAATCTATTATATTTAGTTGTTGAGGCTAAATATGTTTTCTGTTTTTTTAGACACTGAAAAATGACTTGTCCGCTTTGTGGTGGACAAGTCAGGGTGGTTCTGACTTTGCACGTGTTGTATATAATACAGTATATATCACAGTATTATTATATGTATGTATTTTGTATATGTGTGAGTGACAGAGTGCATATTCGTACAGGAAAGCGGACAGAAGACACATCCTTTTTAGTGGCCTCCACCATAAAGTCCATCCAGAAGTCCATGAGTTCCTGTTTGGTCCCCGGCGGCTCAGAGGAAGGCTTTTTAAAGTGTTGATAAATTAGAATGGTCTCAACCAATGAGCAGAGGTACCTGAAACACATACATACGTTGGTCTCACTATGCTTGTGAGGCCTCCTGTATTATTGTAGCCAAGTAATACTACACCTACACCTAACCCTAACCTTATTAACTGAAAGGTAATCTTTCTGCTCTCTTAGTTGTCCTCAAAAATAAATTTGTGGTGAAAAAAGCAGATTTTCAAGTAAAAACCAGCAAAAAAGGTACATAATATCATGTTATCTCATTACTGTGAGGACATTCGGTCCACATAGAGTTAGTAAGACAACTACTCATTCAGAGAAAGTCCTAAATCATCAGGAAACATTTCATATTTGCCTTACATAAGCATTACAATAAGCATTAAGATTAGCTCTGTTTGTTTTGAATGGTTGCTCATAGAAATGTATAGCATATCAGGACCAAGCATTTCTGTCTGCTTATCATTGCTTGTGGGTGTGTTCCAGCAGCGCATGCATGCATACGTGTTTGTGTCCTGGACTGCTGACATATATGATCACTGTTGTGACAAAATATCTCTGAAATAGCATCTTTACAGGACTGTGGTAGATCTAGGATGTTTTACCAAATATTGTGTCTAAATGCATATGTGTAGGTAAAAGTACCAGACGGGAGCTTTAAGTTTGAAGAGCTTTTCAGACGCCTGTATGACGCGTGTGTTGTCGCAGGCCAGTATGCTGGCCCCCAGGAAGAATCCCACGTCCCAGTAACTCTGCAGCTTATCCAGACTGCCCTTCTTCCCCAGCAGACTGCTCAGCTTCACACCTACAACACACATACATACAAAATGACCCATATGCATTATATACATGTGAGTATCTACATGTAATAATACTATGCCCCATAAAGTACTGCGAAAAGTCAGGGACCACCCTTCATTTCTTTTATTTGCCAGTCAAAACAGCCATTAAGTTCAAGGTATTCATTTTTCAGGAGATATTTCCTGAAGGGGTTTAGATAAGATAATAATCCACTTACATAAGGAAGAGGAAAGTCAAAAGAAAATAACTGAAAAAAAAAACTTTTTAAAGCTGGAGATCAAATTAGTTTTAAAAAGTCACTATGGGTCACTATGAGTTTGCATATTTTGTTAGCCCCCTTTTACCCTGTTCTTCAATTTTCATGACGCCCACATGTAAGAACATTTATGTAATTAATGTAATTATATGTCATATATGAAATATCAACTATATGAGGTAAAACCCCACAATGGCAAGATGAAAATATGTTAAACATATAAAAAGAAGCATGCACATTGCTGACTACTGCAAACCTACACACTTGGAGTACTACTCTAAGCAGCCATGTCTAGTTCCACACTGCATAATTTACACATTAGTTTCACAACAGATACGATTACACCACAAGAGGCCACATTGTGCCTAATAACAACCCTAACCGTGGTAAAATCACAGTAACACACAGCTTCATGTGATGTATTGATTCTATGATAATATACAGCTGAGTGTGGCTCAGCCTATCGATTTTGGAACTGAAACTGCCTGTTTTATAATGAATAACTTATAGTAATTACTAAATAATAGGTCTTAATATTAACTGCTGAACAATACGCCTGCATTTTTAAGTGGTTAACACCAACTAAACACATACACACCCACACTTACTGAGGACTCAACCTCTTTTTCTTTTCCTGGACTTAACTTCTGTTTACATATTCATCTATTCTTCCCCGTCCCACGTTTAGTTTCTCTCCTTGGCTTTCCAACCTGTGTTTGCGCTTGGAGGCCACGCTAAGCTCCTCAAACACGATGTTTGATATTAGTCATTCCGCTAGCTGATCACCAGCTTCCAAAATGCCGCCTGCTACACTGCTCATGTAAACGAAAGCAGCTTGACACAGAGCAGCATAAAACAGCATCCACACTGCTGCCTGCACTAACCCAACTCCTAAACGCACTGCAGATACATACAGATATGCACTCACGCTGAGGCAGAAGCAGGCTGTCCTGTTCCTCACATTCTGGACACACTCTCAGCATAAATTAAGCACAAGGCACTCTGCTTTTCATTGTTAACACCTTCGTCACTATCACAGACTTTTTTAGGGGGCAATGCTTTGTTCCCAGGGCTCTTAATTTGCCCAGGGAAATTTGTCGGAAAGTGCCCTATGTTTCTAGGGCCCTATATTCCCTCACTGAACCTGTGTTTCAGCCTCATGTTGCCTCAATCTTAATTTCTCAACGTTAAAAATAAGATTAATTGGTAACTCCTTACAGAAACTACATGTCAAAGAAGCTCGAAAGATGGCATACTCATTAGCAGTACAGTAATATTTGCAATTACATGAACTTTAGGGCTTACGCTAGTCGGCGACGTATCCAAAAACAGGCCGAAGTTTCGTTTCATGGAAACTGTGAGAAAGGGTTAAATACAATAGAATGGACTGTTTGTGTCTCTCTTTGTTTGGACTGCATCTTCCTGCATCAGACTGGGCTGTGTTTACCTCCCTCTGATTGGACTTTGTCTAATTTCGACCGATTGCATCTACAGCCTTTGACTGCATGCCTACCTCCATTTCACTGGACCGCAGTCTATTAGTTTGAACTGTGTCACAATCAGGAACAAGCCAGAGAGAAGCCTACAAAAGGAAATGCACCTCTGGCCTGATACACACCCACTTTACGCAGCTCAAAGGAAGAGTCGAACTGGTGGCCGGCAGCCAGCAAAAGCACTGCGTAGTTTATGCCAGAGTGAAGAGTGGGCTCTGATTCAAATCCTCTCCGGAACCTGCAGGGGGTGGAGAAAGGTAGATAGAGAGTTAGAGAGAGAGAAAGGGGAAACAAAGCTGAATGATAATGATGCAAATGTAAATGTTAGGGCTTTAAATCTCTGACCTTAACACTCAATTTTATCATGTTTCTTAAGGAAATGACTCAGTGTATCATGACATTTCAAATGTCATCATGATTTGGTTTATGGGTAGGATTGTTCTTCAGATTACACAAATATAAGCAGTGTTTGAAATACATATTCAGGATATGGAAATCAAGTACCTGTATTCAGTCCAAGTTACATTTTGTAAAGGTGGTATTCAGAGGACAGTTGCTTTTTAAATTTTAAGGAGAATACTTTTAGTTACCAATTAAATTAAACAGCATACAATATTTAAAAGAAACACCATCAATGTTTTTTTTAATTATTAACTCTCAAACATGCTTCTTGAACTTGAATTTGAAAGAGGATTTGAAATCAATGCAATGATCAGTTATTACTCTCAGTGTTACTGGGCTCTGCTAAAGCCTGAGTAGACTGATGAATCAATGTGATGATCAGTTATTGATCTCAGTATTACTGAGCTCTGCTAAAGCCTGAGTAGACTGATGAATCAATGTGATGATCAGTTATTAATCTCAGTGTTACTGAGCTCTGCTAAAGCCTGAGTAGACTGATAAATCAACGTGATGATCAGTTATTAATCTCAGTGTTACTGAGCTCTGCTAAAGCCTGAGTAGACTGATAAATCAATGTGATGATCAGTTATTAATCTCCGTGTTACTGAACTCTTTCTAAGGGGTTGTTCAAACTGAGTCTGAGTGATAAAATAGCATTAGTGTTGTACTGTAAGGCTCAAGAGATTCTGGGAGTGAATCAGGTGGTGAGAAAGAAAAAAAAGTTGAGAATTTTCGGAACCTCTAACCTTTTTAAATGAAAAGCAAACTGTTCAAGAACAGTATTAACAGAATAATTACATGAAGAAAACTGGCAACAAGTAACAGCAAGGAACAGCATGAATTAAGAAAACATGTGCCCTACCAAGATGTATTCAAAATGTATTCTAAATACATCACTTTTTATGTACTATAATGGAACACATTACTGTATACATTTAAAACAGTGCACTCAGTATTCAGCCATCACTAATTTCTCAAAGTATTTGAATATAACTGGATGAACTAGTGTTGGTAACTATTTAAAATATTTGTGTCAAAATTTTTGTTCCACATCTATTTATAAAATGCCAAATAAACACATTCCACCAGACCAGCACTAGACCAGCAAAAACCAGCTTAGACCAGCATGTAATTCATGCTGCTCTGTGCTGTTTTCTTCACTGTGGCGTGGCCAGCACTGGCTGTTTTGTTACCCCTACCTACCCTCCCCACCAAATTCAGCTCCTTTTCCACTGTTCCTGAAAAAACAGAACAGACCAACATGCACTCCATGCTGGCCTACGCTGGTCTGAGCAACACACTTAGAAAAAGATGGTTCTTCAAGGGTTCTTTAATAAAGGCAATGATTCTACTCAGAACAATGACTGAGGCTTAATTTCATGCTTAAATGGTTCTTTGCATGGTGAAACAGCTCTTCAGATTGATGGAGAATGTGCCGTATACGGTACTAAAAAGGGTTCTGCAATTGCTACAATGTCAAGCTTGTAACAATAGAAGAACCCTTTTTGGTGCTCTATAGAACTATTTTCAAAAAAGTTCTAGATAGAACCATGTACAACATATTTTTCACCAATCTGAAAAACCATTTCACCTCGCAAAAAAACATTCAAGCATAGATTATAGATTTCGTGGTTCTAAACAGAACCACTGTCTTTACTAAAGCACCCTTGAAGAAAAGTTTTTTTTAAGTGTGCAGTTTATGCTGGTCTAGTGCTGCTCAGTTACTCGACGTTCCGCTCTCAGACATGAGCTTCTAACCTCACAATGAGTGTAATTTTAATTTTAACATCACTTAGCTAGAACCGAGCCTGTACTGTGGTGTGTGGCACTTCAGGTCAACTAACTGAGCTATAATTAGCTTAGCTAACATGCTACGGCTCCAGACACCACAATGATTTTGGCTTTCCGTCACTCCAACACCAGTCATTCGACTCTTCACCCTCAGGCATGAGTTTATATCATCTACGCGTGTCAGTTAGTTGAAATCGAACCACTGTGTGTGGTACTGTTGGGTTCTTTAGCCGTCTAGCTATGCTAATGTTAGGTTCAACATGTTTAATTGCAGCTTTCTTTAACTCCAAAACTAGTTGCATGACTTCACTCAATATCATCTAAACTTGTGTCAGTGCTGTAGTTAGCCAGAATCGAATCTGTTCTGTGGTGAGCAGAGCTGCTAGCATGCCAGCTAAGCTAACGCTAACCAGGTCCTCTTAGCTAATTAACAGCACTGTAACATTTAGCCATTGCTGTTAGATAGATGGTGTGGCATGTACTGAATGATGGATTGAAAATCATGCACTGTGTTTACTTATTTGGTAACCGTATAAGTGACATTTTTTATTGTGGTAATATTCAGAGATGGTTTGTAGGTATGAAAAAAGTGGATGTCGCCCAACTCTATGAACTTTTTATACAGAACAAACATTCCTATAACAATAACAAATGTCTTTTTTTATTTATATTTAATAAATAGGCCAATAATTCTATTTTAAATGACTGCAGACTCTATTGAAAGTACTTTTATTCAGATTGATGCACCACTATGTATTTTTCCCCCATACTGCACAAAGATGTAAATACAAATTTTCCTTTTCTCAACAACTCTTTCAAAACTATCAGAATGGGACTGTCATGGCCAGTTACTATGACTCTCTGTGGTCAACTGGAATGTTGTAAAAGCAAACCGTAGGTGTGCTCACCACTGTATGCTGCTGTCTCTGCTCTCAGTGTCAGCGAAGTGCGAGTCCAGGAACATGTCCTTATAGATCCGTCCCACCAGACAGTAAATATCAGAGGCTACCTGCTCCTCGCTCTCCACCAGCGGCAGCATGATGTCCAGAGCCTTCTGTCGGTCACCTGGCTGATTCCTCCTGCAGAGAGAGAGAGACAGAGAGAGAGAAGTGAAACAGAGACAAAAGGAGAGTGAGAAAAACAGATAAGAAGATAGGGAGAGAAAGAAAGAAAGAAAGAAGAAAGGCAAAATATTTGTTCCATTTTGAAAACAAAAAAATCCAGTGTTTCATCTATCAAAGTTTCTTTCTTTCCCCTCAAGTGTTACATTTCTTCATGTTACACTGACCCAAACTGACCCTTACACAGGTCAGGGTTGACTCTAAGGTAAAGTGTGACGGAGTCCTGAGAACTGTGGGCTCCTCATACACACACAGAGCAGCCGTGCTGAATCATGTGGTTTTCAGCCAAAGAGACAGAGTGATGTCATCTGTCACTTATTCCAAACCTGCTGATCTGATACAAGCCTAAAGAATGAACACAATGTACTCCAGTCTTCAGCACAGAGAAAACAACAGAGAGGGAGGAAGGGAGGGAGGGAGACAGACAGAGAGAGAGAGAGAGAGAGAGAGAGAGAGAGAGAGCAGAGAAAGAAGACTGTGAGAGCGGTGCGGTCAAGACAGAGCTGCACTTCCTCTTTCACTGTGAAAAATCCAAACTAACTCAAGAAACTTAGTATTATTTAATATATATTGACTTGTTTTATTTATTTACTTCATTTATATCATTAATTCTATAATTGTTATTAATTCTGTAAAGTATGTTCAGAAGTTTACATGCTCTGGAAACACTGTACTTTAGACAATCATGCCAATAAAGCTACTTTGAATTGAGAGAGAGAGCGAGAGACAGAGAGAGGGAAAGAATGTGTGTGTGTTTGTGTGTGAGAGTGAGAGAGAAAGAGAGGGAGAGAGAGAGAGAGAGAGAGAGAGAGAGAGAGGGAAAGAATGTGTGTGTGTTTGTGTGTGAGAGGGAGAGAGAAAGAGAGAGAGAGATCAGGCAGCCTAAGGATCAGGCTGCTGGATTAGAGTGCTGTTTGCTTTTGTAAGATTAACCCAATTACTTCATGAAATCTTTCTCTCTCCTACTTGTTGCAACTTTGTTCTTATTGTGCCTACAGACTAGGCCTTGATAAAACCCTATAGCCTCTATAAAGGTCCACAGACATACATACAGTACTGTGCACAAGTTCAGAGGTCAGCCTCCATTTAATTTCCAGTAAGAACAGGCAGAAAGTGTAGTGTTGTATATCGGATACTGTGCCAAAACTGGCACTTAAACGCAATTTCGGTATCAGTGATGGGATACCGATACATACCGATACCACGAAGCAATTTCTTGCAGCCCGTCACTTCAACCATGCCAGAAAAAACAAAAAAAAGGGAAAAGTGGTATTGGTGCATCTCTAATTAAGTACAAGTTATTCATTTTCAGGAGAGATTTCTGAATAGGTTAGATATGAAATAATCCATTCGCATAAGAAAGGGAAACACAAAGGAAGTGAAAAACACAGACTTTTTAAAACTAAAGTTCTTAAATTTATTAAAAGACACAGAGAAAAAGGGACTCCTAACAACCTGGTGGACCACCAAAACTGCTTCAGATCTGAAAACATCCACAGGTGTATCTGTCCATCCTTCCACTGTGGGAAGACAACAAGAAAATTTGCAGAGCCGCTGTTCTCAAAACTGACCACGCTAGAGTCTAGACCTCAACTTCACCTAATGTGTTTGGGATTGTTGGATGCAACCAACTTCCGAGACTGAACTTTGGGGGTGTGGAAAAGTATCCTTACAGATTTTTTTTTACAGACGTTAAAACAACTGAAAGCAAGTCCAGCCAATGAACGAATAACAGTGACAGGCGTGAAATGATAGTCACTGGCGAGTGGGTGGGCAGGTGGAGGATAAATATTATTAAAAAAAAGACCAATCAGATGCCCTGAATTACCTGGGGGGCACTGAGTTTAAGCCCAATTAAGCTTATGCATTAAATCACCCATCGCTCCCTAATTGGTAGGGCACTACTGAGGTTTGCCCTGAGGTTGGCTCCACCACTGAGCCCCAACACACCTACAAACACTATAGCTAGTGTAGGTAACTACAGACAATCTAATAGCCTCATTCTAACTAACTCTACTGCTTCATTTGCCACAATAAAACTGCATCAACATAAAACACCATGAGTTTGCACTTTTTTTACATCTCTTCTGATGCACATATGAGTCACTTGATGCTTCTGGCTCAGAGGCAGGACATGATAAAACGTCCCCTGGGCGACAATTACCAGAGAATTTAACGTTCCCGCGAGAGCCCTGCTGAATCCCCCAGCCGTCGAAAAAACATCTCATCATCTACAGCAAACGAGCACAATTAAATCTCTCAACAAAAAAACAGGAAGCTATGTTTCAGCTGTTGATGCTCTAATAGAGGAAACTGCTACTATGTGTTTGGGAAAACACAGGAGCGTCTGAGAAAAGTAAAAAATAGCATTCCCTCGCCAGCCATGAGGGTATTACTATTTAAGATGCATGCCGTGCATCATTATTGTTGAGAGTAAAACACTTTTGTAACACATGCAAATCAAGAAGAAAGCCCATAAACACTAAAAAAAAAATGCATATTTGCATAAGTTTTGCAGATTCACACAGTGTAAGTCTTGCTTAAGTGCCAAAGCAAAACAAAAATTCTCCACACTTGCCTGTTCAGAGCAAAAGCATAGTGGAACTTCACATGGGGATGGGCCACAGGGTCAAACGTGGGGAGCTTTTCTAGAGTTTCCACCAGCTTTATAATTGATTCGTAATCCTGCAAAGAAATAAAGAAACTAATTAACAAACAAATAATTACAGGTTGCACAGAAATTACACATCAGTCCAGCACATATTAGCTTAATCTGGGCTGCAAGTTTATTTTTATTTAATATCATCCTTATGCTTATTGTATAATCTCTGAAAGTGTTGTAGTAACTCTTATTTCATTGTTAAGTTCTGGTTGAAAACACAAAGGTTACACTACCCCCACACAAAAAACTAGACACAAATAAAATCACCCAATAGCACCTGTAAAATCCCACACACACCTAATCCTGTTCAATCTGGAATGGAATGTCTTTTACAAGCTTTAAATGACTGTTTAATCTAGAACAGCTAAAAAATCTTTGTAATGTTTTCTTTTACAGATGCTTAAGTTCTAGGTAAGTGTGAGGTACAAACACCAAAGTACTAGATAATGATGTTAAGTTCCAATGCATTAGTCCAAATAACTTATTTAGTGTATGCACTTGCTACCTTATTACTACAAATCTTTATGAGGTATTACAAAATGTCATATTAACAGCTATAACCTGTTGGATTTCAGTGTAATTACCTTATTACTACAAATCTTTATGAGGTATTGCAAAATGTGATATTAACAGATTTCAGTGTAATTTTATTAAAAACAATCTCAGAACGTACCATCATGTTACCTAAAATAATTATCTAGTACTTCGGAGTTTGTACTTCACACTTACCTGGATACTACCTAGAACTTAGGGGACTGTAAAAGAAAGTGTTACAAAATGTTGGTGTGCACTAGCTAACATAAATTTAAAAATGACATAGTGAGCTAGAATCTAGCCCTATCATAGAAATGTTTTTTTTTTTTCTAAATTTTTCTTTCTACTCAAAAACCCACTTTCTATAGAATATGATGGAACATTTATTAACATCATTCCACAATGGTAATTTTTACTCATGAGGATGTGCAGTGTGTAAAAAGTTACTGATCTGAAAGATTTGGACAGAACTAAATGATGATAATTACTATATTCATAATAGTTCATAATCAAGCTTCACAGTCCCAGCTCCAGTCAACAACATATGGCCTTTTCGTTCTTAAACACTGTTTTAGAAGCAGCAGTATCCTGTCAATTCATATCCAACACATTGCATTATTAATGAAACCCTTCTGCATTATACTCTTAATTCCCTGCACAGCATGTGAGTACTAACAGCAAGGTAAATAATTCAGTCAACCTTTATCATTTGTTGTTGTTGTTATTAATTGATGAGGAATGAGGCAGTGGCGGATACCATGCGGAAGTGTTGATGGAAGGGCAAATCAAGGAAAGATTCAAGTGTAGGCGTCAACATGTGGTCAATGTTTATATATATATATTATTATTATTAGTCCCACAACAGGGAAATTTTACCTCCACATTTAAACCACCCATGCAGTAAAACACCAAACACACACTGGTGAATGCATACATTCATCTTCGTCGACCCAGATGGGACTCGAACCCAATATCCCCAGCTCCGGAGGCTGATCCCTTATCCATTGGGCCACTGAGTCAATATAATAATCGTCTAGTAGCTTACACCAACCAGCCACTTCACTGAGTACACCTATCTACACTCACTGTCCATTTTATCAGCTCTTCTGACCATACAGGTGCACTTTGTAGTTCTACAATTAAAGACTGTAGTCCATCTGTTTCTCTGCATACCATGTTAGCCCCCTTTCACCCTCTCCTTAAATGGTCAGGACCCCAAAATGTGATCACAGGACAGGTATAATTTAGATAGGGGATCATTCTCAACAATGATGTGGTGGTGGCATGTTTGTGTGTGTTGTGCTGGTACAAGTAGATCAGATACAGCAGTGCTGCTGGAGTTCTGAAACACCTCAGTGTCACTACTGGACTGAGACTAGCCCACCAACCAAAAATATCCCTGTGGGCAGTTTCCTGTGACGACTGATAGAGGGCAAGAGGATGATCAACACAATCTGTGCAGCAGATGAGCTACTGTCTCTGACTTTACAGCTACCAACATGGTAGGAGTGGAGAGTGAGTCTGATCCACTTGTACCAGCGCAACATTAACTAACATGGCACCACCGCGTCAGTACTGAGAATGATCCACCACCCAAATAATACCTGCTCTGTGGTGGTCCTGTGTGGGTCCTGACCATTGAAGAACAGGGCAAAAGCAGGCTAATAATGTATGCATAGAAACAGATGAACTACAGTCTGTAATTGAAAAAAATTGTATGACTATTGATTTATAGTGTATAGCAACATTAGCCTCACAGCTCCAGTTTAAAACTAAAGGAGCAAAATTTGGACACCAAACATGTCTTGGCTGATCGACTACATCTGGGGTGAGCGGAAAATTGGGTCAATTAGATTTTTCAACATTCCTTTAACCCTTTTTTAGCTCAAACTGTGACCTTTTCCTTTAAAATTAAACTGTGTCTGCTTTCATTACACTGTTCTACATACTTAAAGGTTTGCACACTTGAAACTGGACTTTGCCTGCTTCCATTAGATTGGACAAGGCCCACCTACAGTAGATTGCAGTTTGCTTGCAAGGCAGTCAGGCTGAGGCAGAGCAGAGCCTGGATAGAAGCTGAGCTCTTCAAACATTTATACTGATGCTCAGAGACGTGAGTCTGGTTCCAATTCAGAGAAGATCAACCCCTCCTCAATTTCCCCGGCTCATTTGGTCAAACCATGATCTGTTCTGCTTTGAGGAGGAAGACTTTGATGGCTGTGTACTTTAAAAGTTATAATTAGAGACGGCACCAATCAGATACCAATTATCAGTATTGGGTCAAATTCAGTAGAAATGCTGGACTGGATAACAGAGAGAAATGAATCTGATCCAGTCCTGGAACACATTTATACTGAAATATCCTACTTTTAGATGCTTGTCTTAAGTGAAGTGCTTCAATTAAAAATAGCTAATTTTACAGCTTTACGGGGTTTTTTAGTATTGGTGTTGATCGATACTCAAGGTTTTAATATCAGTACCGGTCAGTACTATCTTTAGTTGGTCTGCAGTGGTCCACAAGTATGAGCATGCGGGCATTTTGGTGCTCACAATGTATACTCGTCCTGCCCACAGAGTCTGGCCCAAAAATGTATTCTCTTTTATTAAATTGTTTTTATAAAATTAACAAATATCCAGTTATTATAATAAATAAAAAATGTGTAAATCAAATAACAATTGCTTTAGCCATGACAAATGAACATATACATTGTCCTTGAGAGCCTCAAGGCTGATGCTTTAGCATTTGATAGAAAGGAGTTGCTAATTAGCCTGGTACATTTAACTTGCTTAACTACTAAGTGGAACCAATAACAATGTGGGCTAAAAGCACTATGCTCAATGATTATGTCCGAAAATGCCTGGCAAATACGCATGGCAGACCACAGTAAACACTGACCTACATGCACCTCATCCTTCCATAAGACATGCCTATTATAAAAATATCGTAAAGCATTGTTTAGAATTTAGAACTGCTGGAGTGCTGTAGTTCAACAACACTGTCAAGTGAAATCTCTTCTCCAGGACTGAAATATGTGTAAGTGAGCAAATGCTTACTCTCCCAGAGCCAGTTTCAGCCTGTAGACTCCTGTACCATTCAACATTCATGTAAATGGCAGATTGGCTCTTTTGAGACATCAGCAGAGAAAGTCCAGAACGGCTATGCTGTTATAAAATCATTACACATGCTCTTAAGAAAATGTTGCCATGGTGAATGCACTTTTTTGAAAGACAATGCAAGCCGAATACAATGTAAGAACATTATGAATAGGCTGCTTTCAGCCCCCTTACATCTCCTGCGGTATATACGGTTCTTGTTACACTTCCTTTAATTACTTGTCTCGTAGTTCATTGAAACTGGTGGAGAGAGAGAGTTTTGAAAGTATAGATCCTAACCTTCCCCATCTGTGTTTGTACGTAGCTAAAGAGATGTTGTTTTGGGTTTGCATATAGTCTTGTTTTGCAGAATGACCACTTTGTTACTTTTTGCCATGTTAGTGTCTCTGTTTGACATTGGAACAAGCATAAAAACCCAAACTTGTAAATGTAATTCATTTTGTAACTATGTAACGAATTTTGTTGGCTTAGTTTACAGGATATAGATGAAGTCTACTCTTGGAGTAAACTGCAATACCCATGGTGAACCACTACTACAAATTCCTTTTTAGTCCAGGCTTAAGCCCTATTCGAGCTGGATTAGTTTGTAATTTGTGCATGATTTGACTGGTCATTTAGTACGGGATAAGGGTTCTCTGTAATTTCCCCAAGTTACCCCAAATAGCCCGGATCGCAACATTACCACGCAGACGTTTACATCAGCATTACAATAACAACACGTTGTGCAGCTAAATGATATATAGACTAGCATTAGGATAGTACAGTGGGCTTATTCAACTTAACAAATGCCAGCCAATGAGACATAAAATGCATTGCCTTGCAAGAGCGGCTTTCAAGTTCATTTTTCTTCTCCACATAATTCGTCCATCAACAAAAGTGCAGTGGATTTCAACAGTCTTGTCAAACTGAGCTCCGGTTTAGCTGTTAGACTTGTCTTTAGTTCACAAAAAATGAAAATAAAGGGAGGCACCTTTCCTACCCCGCTTCTTTTTCGCCAGCTTCAGCAGCTGGCAAATAAAAAAGTACAAAGCTGAATTTTCCCGTTCCACCTTAAATAGTGCAGAAGTTGCAAATTCTGGCACCTCAGGTGCCTCAGTAACTGCTGTACTGTTTAAGGTGGAATGAGAAAATTTGAAGATAAGCTGGTGAATAGGAAGCCAACTTCGGCCTTGTCCGTTTTCTATTACCCGGTTTTTCTATTTACCCTGTTACTGAAGGAGCTCTGAGTTTGGCGAATTATATAGGAAGTAGTTCACTCTTGAATTATTACTTAGCACACTTGTAAAAACTACTGCCATGTCAGATTTGTACTGGATTAAAATCACAGATCTTATCAGTAATTACTCAAATTACAGTATGTCCTTGGTATAGTGGGGCATATAGGGCAAAACTCCTACCTTCGCCTACCTGTGTAAAAATGATCAAATTGTAAGTCGCTCTGGATAAGAGCGTCTGCCAAACGCTGTAAATGTAAATGTCCTCATGTAATACTAATCTAGCTCAAATAGGGCTTTAAGCGTAATCTTATGGCCCATAATGACGTAAAGAAAAATAAATTCACTACCAATCAAAAGTCTGAGTTTTGATCACAAAAGGGGGGCAATGCCACAGCAATCCTACCACAAACTTAAAGAAAAGCTATGGTATTCAAACTGCATCGAACAGCTGCTGTAGTGAAACTGTATTTAACAATATGCATGCAGCATCGCTATGGCAATGAGGAAAAACTGCATGCACATATCCACTTCAGGGTTGCCAGATTCGTGGTTTTCCCACCAAACTGGGCTAGTTTGAAAGGGCAGTTGCAAGAAGACATTACATTTTTTTCTGGGCTGCTTTCGAAATGTACCACAACAGCTGAATAAACTGAAATAAATAAACTGAACTGAATCAGTCTAGAAAAACTTGCTTTGCCCACATCTCAGTTGAGACATCGCAACATTGTTACCTGTATATCTCTGTACGACAGGAGCAGATTGATCACGATGTCGGCCGACAGGCACTCCACATTGTCCAATCGCTGCTGGATTCGCCCCAACTCTGCCGCTAGCTCATCCCCTGTGTACAGCTCCCGCGCTTTGCGGATCTCGTTGAGTATCGTCTCCCGGAAGTACTGGCTGCACAGAGACAACACAAACACACCACGTTAACCTCAGTTTTCATTACTTTGGCATTATCTCACCCCAGAGGACTTGCACTCGGTCCTCAAGTACCACCAGCCAGTCCACATTCTGTTCACTTACAGCTGCCAGACAACCGAGCCAGCTTCCACTCTGAATTAAACTGAAAGTACTTCAATGACTTTCTTAACAGAAACACCCAGGATGAAGTATTTGGAGGAAAAAAACAGCACCATACTTGTCATATATACTACTGCAAAAGTTTGGAGACACTTTAATTTTCCCCCCCCCAAAAAAGTAATAATAAATGAGCATGTTTTCTTTGTTGACTGGTAATAACATGATGTAGTGTCCTGCTGCTGGTGGAGGCATGGCCATATACAGCGACCACCATTTTGAGGTGGAATGACAGAGCGATGCAACACATCAAAGATAGAAAAATAGAAATCAAAAAAACAATCAAAAATGACTCACTGCGTCAAATCACACTCAGCCGGTTCACTGATTATAATGGGATTGTTTTGGTTTTGACATTGTCACTAGCTCAGATTGCTTACTGTTATGACACAGTGTCAGTTAACACTTTCTCTACAGGGAACAAACATAAATATGGCATTTTTCGGCAAATGTTAGAGAACAATTTCTATTTCTTTGAAGAGTTCAAAATATTGGGGGGAATAACATAAAATATAAATATTAAATGTGCTGTAACTGTTGCACAGGTCATATTTCATATTTTCCAATAGTTTAAATTCAGTAAATAAATAGTAAGTTGGTACAGTGTAGTGGGTAACACCTCTACCTTCTATGCTGTAGACGGGGGTTCAATCCCCCACTGGGGCAAGCACTCTACACTATACCAATAAGAGTCTTTGGGCAAGACTCCTAACACTACCTTCGCCTACCTGTGTAAAATGATCAAATTGTAAGTCGCTCTGGTTAAGAGCGTCTGTCAAATGCCGTAAATGTAGTAATTATGCATTAGTATGTTCTCTGTATAGGTTGTATTAACTTATTTTCACTTAGAAAATCAACAAAACATAATTCGACCAGGAGTGCCCAAACCTTTGTATGTGGCTTGTTGGACAACTCAAGTTTCATCAAATTGCT